AAAATATCCCTGTAGGTTGTGTGGCAACAAAGTGGATATTAAGGACAGAAAAGTCAAGGCAAAGTCAGTTGTCCTCCTTAGGAAGAAGACTCCAGTACCATGACATTTCAACCAAAAGTAACTACGACTTTGGGAATCCCTTTCTTTGGGTTGCTTTAGTTGTGGTTCAATCACGTCCAACTCTCTGTGACCCTGTTTTCAGTTTTCTTTGCAAAGATGCTGGAGTGGTTTGCCATTTTCTTCTCTGGCTCATGCAGATGAGGAAACTGAGGCAGGGCTAAATGGTTTGCCTAGGGTCACACAGCCAGTGAGTGTCTGAGGCCGGATTTGAACCCGTGAAGATGAATCTTCTTGACTCCAGGCCCGGTGCTTGGCTTGCTGGAAAACTTATCAGAGACCCTAATTTGGAATTTGGTGCCATGCCTGGTCTTGCCCCCGTAGTTGTCATAGTTGTTGTGGACCCCGCACAGTATGAGCAGGACTTCCTGACGACGCTGATGATTGATCTGTAAGGGAATGACGCTGGAGCTGAGCATCACAGGTCTCGTTTTAAAGGCCATGGTCCTGTGGTGGCAGCGGTGTGGCATCTGCCACTTGATTATATAACTGAGCACAACGTGTGCTTAATTTTGGAGATGCAGAAGGAAATGACTAGATTTTGGAATAAATGGGGCAGTTTAAGAATAGATAAATAATTCATATTTTGGACCTGCAGATTTAGCTGTTTTGGACCACAGTTATGTCCCCTTGAGTTTCAAATATAAGACCATCCCAATATTCCTGTTTCTTTTTTGTTTAGATCATAAGAAAGTTACATTTTAAATATCTAAGCAAGGGAGCTCTTATCCCTTGTTTACAATAAGCCTTTTAAAACCTGTTTTGTTTGGTCTTGGTAGATATATACCATGTTATTATTTAAGTGGTCTTCACATTTTTATGACTAGTTATTCTTTTTCTTTTTTTCAGCCAAAGACAAGGTTTATTAGAATATCTGTCATATTGGGCAGACTTTTATGGAGTCTGAACATTAATGAGCTATTGGCTAGATTTTAAGAATCTGAGCACCCTAATGGAGACAAGATGGACCTTATATACAGAAAGACTGCGGGAGGGATCTAGGAGTGGCCAAGTAGTCTGCTGGGACTGTGACCATGTGGCCGAGGGAGAATGGAGCCTATCTAGGGTTAAGGGTGGGAAGTGGCCATAGGGTGGTAAAACAATGGAGAGCTAAACTAGGTTAAGGGTAACTGAGAATTGAGAGATTGGGTGTAGCCACAATGAAAGGCCAGTTGATGGGATTATAGCCTCAGGCAAATGCCAGAGATTTAGCAGTGTGGTAAAGTCCAAGGCTCTTCCTTTTTGGGGTCCAGATGTCAAAGACATGGTCTTTTCCTTTCTGGGGTCCAGATCTCATCCTCATCATTCCCCCCTCAAACAAATGGGACTCAAATTCTTTTTAGGGTAAGGGGCGAAGGTCTTGGCTTCTGAAACTGTTTCCTGCTGGCAAGGGGCATACAGCTGTCCCTGCCTCGAGGGGGTCCCAAAGAGGAGGTTGACTGGAACAGAGCACAGGGTGCATCCAGGGAACAATAGAAGGACATTGGCTGGTACCCACTGTTTGCTATCAAGTGTAGGTGAATGGCCTGTAGTCTGGAAGACACAAATCTGACAGAAAAGACTGCAGGGCCCAGATATGACAAGATAAAACATCCTTAGCTCTGTTTGGATTCAGACAATTCAGTTTTCCAACCATGCAGTATCAATCCACCTCATAGCCAAACTCAGGAATAGCCAGGTGGGTAACATTCCTTTTCATAATGGGGAAACTGAGCCAGGAGGATCCTATCTTAGACTAAGGCTAAAATTGTCCTCTCAGCTTTTCCCGATGCAGACTTCCCACCAGTATCACATTATCTGGGTAGCTTGTGGCATTTCTCTCAGATGGTAGATTATTGATGGATTATGACCCATCAGACAGCTCAAAATAAAATCCTAGGAGCTTTTACCTCAAACAGCAAGTTTCATTAATCACAGCTTAGAAAACCTTTTCCAGGATTTACATCTCAAACTTAAATTTGTCCTGGTGTAAAAAGCCAATCATTAGAGATTTCTGTATACTTGCAAATTCTTAGCAAGCCCTACATAACCTAAACAAGCGTTTTGGCAAGTTTACACATTAAAACAATAACCGACAATAGTCAAACTATTTTAGCGGTAACTAAATTATGAAAACTTGCTTGACATAAAGGATACAAAAAGTTCACCAATTTGAAACTTCAAACAAACTCATTACCAATCAGGTGACTTCAATTTTGTTAAATTCATTTCCAAATTACTTTACACAGAGAAGCAACATCTCATTATTAACAGTTAAAACTATAAATTTAAAAGAGTGTACTTACCCAAGTTTGGAGGCTAGCTTCTCTACCTTGAGCAGGATGTGCTGAACCTGGGTGATGCTTCCAGGCAAAGGTTGCCTCAGGGCCCAAGGCCATTGCCAGGGGGGCCCATGTTATAGCTGCTGCCCCTCCCCATGACTTCCTTTCCCCAGGTGGGGGAGAGTGAAATCAAAGGTGAGGGGTAAAGGGTGAAACTCTCTTCTCCTATGGGAGTGACCAGGTTGTACAGAGGTGTTTCTTAAAACTCTTTAATGATTGATCACTAAACCTCCAGAATCTGCCAAGATGTTTTTAGCTGTTCTAACTTTTCTCTGTAACCTCCATGAAGGAGGATTCAGGAGTGTAGAGGGAGGTAAGTAAGCTTCAGGGAACCAAAAAGCAACTGCAGTTTCCCCACTTCCGTAGCGCCCAGAGAATTGACAGAATTGGGCATACACTTCCAGATGGGGCATCAATCCTTGTCCTCTGTGCTGCAGAAGGTGTATCCAGGTCCACGGCCTCAAATCGAACCACTGGACTGAGATCCTGAGGGTGTCAGGCTGAGTGCAAGACAGTCTCGTAACTGTCTGCCCGAAAAGTGCCTTGGTGCTTGGAGAGGGACCCCAACTGCAGAGCAAGAAGGGCAGGGGGGAGGCTTACATACCTTCCAGTCTTGGCTAGAGAAGAACTTGGGGTTGGGCAGTTTCCCCGTATGGGCCACTGAAATGATGAGGTTTAGGGACTTGGGGTGCTGGGACCCCAAAATCACAACATGCTGGTCCCAAAAGAATCCAACCCAAGCCTTCTTTCAGCCAAAGACAAGGTTTATTAGAACATCCATCATATTGTTGCAGACTCTTAAGGCGTCTGAACATTAGTGAGCTATTGGCTAGATTTTAAGAATCTGAGCCATGACTAGTTATTCTTTTTTTTTTGGCTAGGCAATGGGGTTAAGAGACTTGCCTAGGGTCACACAGCTAGTAAGTGTTATGTGTCTGAGGCCAGATTTGAACTTGGGTCCTCCTGACTCCAGGGCCAGTGCTCTATCCACTGCACCACCTAGCTGCCCCCATGACTAGTTATTCTTAAAATATTTCAAACATATCATCAGTTAAGATACATTTGGGTCATCCATTTTACAAAGTAAAGATAGGGGCCGAACAAGTTAAAACCTTTGTGCTGTACAACTTGGTAATAAAGTTAAAAGGTGTGAGTCTATATAATTCAGGTAGTTAAGCTAACCATTTTCACACTACCTAAGCAGAGCACCTAAGGTGGCTTGTGGAGGAAGGGTAAGGTTGAAGAATAAAATAATCACATGAGGATTTTACATTTTTCCTGTGTGTGAGTTGTCAGTAGAAAAATCAAATGCAGCTTTTTAAAGACTATTATGTTTAACATACATGGAATGCTTTAAAAGAGTGGTTTGGAGTGACTATGGAAGGAAGCTAGACTCTGTTAACTTTAACTTTGATAAGGTTTAAAGCCCTTGTAGGCAAAGTGTTCCTGTTGGGAAGGAAATATATCAAGTCAGTAGAGAGAGAATGGTCCATTTTCAGTGATATCAGTCTAAATTGAAATCTGGGAATGAATTCCGTATTTCGGGTTCTATAATAAAAGTGAAGCATTTGATTTAAAAAAAAGTACTTAGTGTAGACTTTCAGAAGAGCCTTCCTGAGACCATGTCATGACTTTCACTTTCTATAGAAAGTGACTCTTATGGGGAGGAGGGGATGTCAGGCTAGAGATCCAGGGAAATGGAGGAAGAGATAGCCTTGTCCTTAGGAGCCCTTCATCTTTAGGGAGAGATAGCCAAAGTCTGTGGCATGAGTGGGAGGAGGTCAATATTCTTCCAGAACTGAGACCTAGAAAAGAAGAGGGGATATGACTAGCAACTAGGCAGGCAAAATGTCAGACTTGGTGACTGGTGCCTTGGATAAGCATGGTGAGGGTGGGGAGGAGGCAGCCAGGAGGCACAGAGAATTTGTAGATGCGCAAGGGTAGTTGTGGCCAATCAGGGAAAGCTCCCTGGAGGAGGTGGGTGCTGTGCTTGGTTCTAAAGGAAGAGAAGGGGGTGCAGGATGGATAGACCTCCTTCTGGCTTGGCCTCTTGGCTTTCCACACACTAGAGGAAACAGTGTTGAAAGAGGAAGTGTGGAGAATTGAGGCTTCCCCTGTACCCTCCTCCAGGCCCAATCCAGTGGCTAGACTATCTCAGTACCTATAAGTTTCAGGGGTTCCCAGTTCCTTATTAGGAAAGGCAATGATATTGGACCTGTTTGTCCTCTTCTGAATCTTTCAGGTCTTGGGGTAGGAGGACCAGGTTCATATCCTCTCTTTGGAGCCCACAAAGGCAGAGCAGGGGTTTATAGGCTACCCACTTTTTGGATGGGGAGAAAAGATGCAGATTATAGCCTGATAAATATGGAAGGACGAAAGAGACCCAGGGCAGTGGTTCTCCAGAAGGGTGGATACCATCTCGGCTCCTTCTCTGGCGCCCGTGTCTGGTGCTGGGAATAGAGCTTGGTGGAAGTGTCAGACATAATGAGGGTTGGGTGGCTGGGGAGCCTCCCTGGCCAAACGCCTCCTCACCTATCCCTGCTTTTTCCGTCCTCTCCCCAGATCACAGACTCTTGGAGAAATCAGACCTGTTGGCCCATTTCACAGAAAAGCTGCCACCCGAGTCTCCCAGTGAACCTTCACGGTAAGAGAGAGGGTCAAAGGGAGGACAGAAGGACCTAGGAAATGGCATGAGGGAAACACTGTGAGTAAGGATGTAGAGGGCAAGGTTGGCTCTAAAGGAAGGGAATCTTAATGGGGAAGGAGAGCCCTCGGCAGTGGAGATGATAGTGACCATGGGCAGGGGGTTCGGGGAGTGAGGAGGGAGGCCTGAGGCAAGAGGTTCTAAGGGGAAAGGGGGGGCTGGGCATGGTGCCCAACCACAGGCCCTTACAATGGTCGCCCTGTGCATTTGCCCTGGTTAATTCTCTTCCTGGCACCTCATTGCCCCAGAGGCCACACCAGCTTCCCTCCTACAAGGGACAATCAGGCCTTTTTCCCTTGCGTCCCTCCCCACCCAATCCCCCAAGCCAGAGATGACTCTGTGGCCTGATGCCTGAGACCTTCCACTAGGCTGGTTGTTCCAGTCCCTTCCCCTCCTAGGCATTTAGCAGACATTAACTGACTCTCTGCCTTGTGCAAGACGTGCCCAATCCCTCCAGCTGTCTGTGGATCTGTCCCCCTGCCTGTATCTTTTCTTCCCTCTCTCCCTCCCTGGCTTCTTCACTCTTTCTTCCTGTCTGTCTTCCTCCCTTCTTCCCTCTGTCTTTTCCCCTCCCTCCTTCCTTCCTATGCTTTCTCTGTCCTCTTCCCTCACCCTTGTCCGTCCATCTCCCTCTCTCTTGACTGCTGTTGTCCTTTCTTCTTTCCTCTTCTCATGGGTTAGATGGGACCTCATTTAGCAGATTAGAAGCCTGAGGCTCAGTGTCCATAGTTAGTAAGAAGCAGAATTCAGGAATCTGCAGCAGGGCCTCTGACTCCAAATTCACCACTTCTCTACCATGTTGTCTATTTGCATCCCTCCTTTCCTCTGTGTGGCTTTCTCTGCCCAGCCTCCCAACCCTTTTTTAGACTGTTGATTTGAAGGTGGGAGGATACAGGGTTGGGAGGACCAGTTCTTGCCCCTGTGTTTCCAGAAAGGAGCACGGGAGAGATGAGATCTTCTGATCCGTCACATACTTGTAGGTCTTTAACGACAAGTGGAGGGAGGATGGGATGCCACGTGGCCCTCCCAGGCAGGGCAGAGGGGAGGGGAGGGAGAGGGAAAAGGGCCCTGAGTCATACTGAGAGTCAGGTTCATACATTTCCTGGGTTAAGTGAGGGGACCCAAGTCACATATAATCCAAATATTTTGCATTTGACTATGGAGTGCATGGTTTATACTTCAGTGGGAATGTAGGGGAGTGGGTTTGACATCCTGGGAATTCACCATGTTTCAGAGAAGAGACTAAAGTCAGACAGTGAATCCCCAGCTGAGGAGGGGAGGAGAGGAAAACCTCTCCCTTCCCCCTCCAACTTTCACCTGCATCCTGTTTCCTGGTCTGTGCTGGCCATGGAAAGTATCACCTCCCAGTCTCAGGGTGCAAAGTACCAGACTGAATATCAGAGCTGCCTCCCTATCTCTAATCTCACTGACTGGCTCACACCTTCCCTAGAGTGTGTGGGGGAGGGAAGGTTGATTTGGGGCATCTGCCTTTCCAGCCTTGGAGGCTACAGGCCACAGAGTACAATGGGACATGAGACCAACCCAGGAGGGATTGAGGCTCTGTGTGTGTGTGTGTGTGTGTGTGTGTGTGTGTGTGTGTCTGTCTGTCTGTCTGTCTCTCCTGTCTGTGTAATTCAAAGCTTCTCTCTGGTTGACAGGGAGGAGGAGGAGGCAGGGCCAATGCCAGATCCTACCCAGTCACCCGAGGACCTCAAGAGAAAATGGGAGGAAGAATTGGCTAAGATCAAGTTGATCTGTGGTGAGGTAGGTTACATGTTTAGAGCTTAGAGATTGGCCACCTTATTTTACAGGTCTAAAGGACTAGAAACAAAGAGGGTACCCATCAGTTGGGAGTGGCTGAACCAATATCAGAGGTAGCTGGTGGTACAGTGAATGGAGCCTGGAATCAGGAAGGACCTGCGTGAGCCTGGAGTTGGGAGGATCTGAGTTCAAATCTAGCATTAGACACATTTAACTAGCTGTGTGACCCTGGACAAGACATGTCTTGCCTTAGTTTCCTCAAATATAAAATGGGGATAATAATAGCACCTACCTTCCAAGGTTGTGGTGAGGATTAAATAAGACATGTATAAAGGGCTTAGCACACTCAGGGCCTGGCACATCGTAGGTACTATATAAATGCTCATTTCTTTCCTTCCCAATTATGGTATATGAATGTCATGAATTTCTGTTGTGCTGTAAGAAATGATAAAAGGGAAGACCTGTTTGAAGTGATGCAGTGTGAAATGATTAGAACCAGGAGAACAATTTATGTCACAGCAACGTTGTAAAGACAAACAGCTTTGAAAGCCTTGAGCGTGCTGATCGTCACAGCGACCCACCCCAATTCCAGAGGCGTGATCGGGAAGCAGTGCTACCCACCTCCTCATAGAGAGGCAATGCACTCAGGCCGAACGAGCCACACGTTTCGGACGTTGCTATTGTTGGAATTTGTTTTGCTTGACTATTCCCATTTTCTACGAGGGGTTTTTCTTTTTTCAGGGTTAGGATGAGAGGAGAGAGGGAGAGAAAAATGCTTATTAATTGAAAAATGAAATGAAGGAGGAGAAAAAAAGAAAACTGAGGCCTAGAGAGATAAAGGTCACCCACAGAATAAATAGCAGATCCAGGCTTTGAACTTGGCTAGGCTTAGAGCATGTAGGTAGTTTCATAGTGCACACAGCGCTGGGCCTGGTATCAAGAAGACCTGAGTTCAAATTTAGCCTCAGACACTTATTAGCAGTGTAACTCTGGGCGGGTCACTTCACCTCTGTCTGCCTCCATTTCCCCAACTGTAAGATGGGGATAATAATAGCACCTACTTTCTGGGTTGTAATGAGGATCAAATGAGATATTTGTAAAATACTTGTGGACTCTGTATCTTGGAGAGGGGGAGGAGAGTTGAAAGGACCTGAGTTCAGAGAAAGGGAGGAAACAAACATTTATTAAGTGCCCACTGTGTGCCAGGCACTCTGCTAAGGTCTGGATAAAAGAAAGGCAAAAGCATAGTCCCTGCCCTCAAGGAGCTAGATGGCACAGTGGATACAGTCCTGGGCCTGAGTCAGGAAGACCTAAGTTCAAATTCAGCCTCAGATACTTACTAGCTTTATGGCCTGGAACAAGTCACTTAACCTCTTATTTGCCTCAGTTTTCTTATCTGAAAAATGAAGATAATAAAAATGAGGATAATAGAAATCCCTTCCAGAGTTGTTGTGTGGATTAATTGAGATAATATTTGTAATGGACTTAGCACAGTGCCTGGCAATACTAGGTGCCATTAAATTTTTGATGATGATGAGGATGGAGCTTATATCCTAATGGAGGTGACATACATACAAATAACTGTGTCCATACAAGATTCATACAGTGTAAATGCAAGATAACCTAGGGGCGATGGGGGGTTAGGCTATACCTCCCAGCACTGGAGGGGCTTGTGTCTGGAAGGGGGAAGGCCCTCAGTCATCAGAGAATGAACAGGTGTGTGGAGCCCAGCCACAGAGCAAGAAGAAATAGGCTCAGACCTTGAAGACTGAGGCCACTCCTAGGAATCATCTATATTCTCAATCTGCCTTGTTCCCATCTGCAGATGGCATACCAAGTTGTGGAGAAGCATATGACCCTGAGCTCCCAGGATGCTATGCTGGAGGATCAGCAGGGCAGGTGAGGGACCCAGCGATCCCTTGAGCATACCCGCGGCTTGACCTTACATGAAATATTAGCTCTCAGGGATGCCCTGTTTTCATGCAGATCATGAGGACAGCAGACCTGTCCGTTCCCTGATAATTCCCCTGATAATCTGGTAGTTTGTCTCTGGAGCAGTCCTCCTTAAAGACTTACACTATGAAAGAGGCTTTGCGGTCTTCTGTGGAGGCTCCCCATCTCAATGGGGAGAGAGCAGGCAAGGGGGACATGGTCCCCAGGCCTATCTTGTTCCCTTTCCCCACCCTCTGCAGGCTGTCATCTCTGGATGCCAGGGTATGTGAATTGGAAGAGACACGTCAATGGCTGGCAGAGCAGGTGGCTGGGCAGCAGGACAGGATCATGGAGGGGAAGGAAGCTTATGACACCCTGTGGGCCCACACTGGCCACCAGGAAGGGGCCTTGAGACAGCTGGAGGAGGAAGGCCGTGAGCTGGTGGAAAGGCTGATCCAAGTCAAGGTGCAAGCAGCCGAGGCCCAGAATTATCGCAATGAGCGTATTGAGAGGTGAAGCCGTAGGGAGAACCCTGTCCTCAGCATGGCCCTGTTGTGAGGGAAGAGGCAGCAGCCTCTGTCCCTACCGAGCCCCAGGCTGAGGGGAGACACATGTCCCTGGCCCCAGGGGGGATGGAGGTGGTCACTATAGAATTCAGGCTCCTTTGCTTGCAGGGTCAAGCAAGCCAGGGTTTCCAAGGAGCTGAAGAAGGCAGTGAGGAGGACAGTCAACATCTCTGAGTAAGTAGGAGATGGGGAAGTTGTCTTCTGGAATCTTCAGTGTCAGATCTCAGGACACAGGATGTTGGGGTGGGAAGGGGTCTTAGAGGCCATCTAGCTTAATACTCTTATTTTACAGAAGAAGAAACTGAGGCCCAGAATGGGACAAGCAGACAACACAAACCTAGTAGCTATCCTTGGGGGACAGATATGGATCAGCTGAATAAACAGGGCCTATCTGTGCAGGAAAGAGTCCAGGCCTTCAGACCCCTAGAGACCTCCACCCCTGTCAGCCCTGTGCAGAGCTTCTGGGGCATTCAAAGCTCCTCTGCTTCTCTTTCCTTAGGACCCTGGACCCTCCAAGCATTGCTGAGCCCCCTGCCAATAAGCAGGAGCTCTTGGTGGTTGAAGCCTATGAGAAACAGTGGAAACGCCCCTTCAGGTAAGTGGGGCCAGAGAGGGGCTATGTAGACAAGCTGATACAACCTGAGAGGCCTTTTGATCCCTGGGCCACCTGGATCCTGGCCTCTACAACATGAGCTCCCTGGCCCTCCTCTCTTTGGCTCTGACCTCAGGGATGGGTCTCCCCCAGCCCTACCCCCCCCCACTTTGGCCAGTGACTCAGGTAGCTTCACAAAGTAACTGGAATTGGGGGAAGAAAAAAAACCTAAGGATCTTCTACAGGGCCTCTTCTGGGCAGGCCCGAGTCATGATTTCAACCACATTTTTCTCTGACAAATGATCTGTGGGTGGGGAGAGGGCAGCACACTGAGACTGCACCTCATCTTCCCAGGGATGGTTGGGTTTTCCCATCTCATAAAATCATAGTATTTAGATGTAAGGCTGGAAGGGACCTTTGAGTCTGACTGCCTCACATTGCAGAAGAGGAAACTGAGGCTCAAAAGAGGGCATGAGGATTTACTCAAGGTCACACCAGCAGACCCAGAAGTTTAACTTGGGTTTTCTGACACTAAGTCCAGTTGTGCTCGTCCTCTTCCCTTCCCCTGGCTTGGAGGCACACCCACCCTCAGGTGAGGTCTCCTTGTGACATGTCCCTTACCGGGGTTTGGGGGGAGAGTGTTCAGATCTTCCTGATGTACGATCCAGGGCCAGAAGGGCCCTTAAAAGTCATCTAGTCCAACTGCTTATTTTCCAGATGAGGAAACTGAGGCTGAGAGAGCTTCTTGGGACTTCCAGGGCTCCTTCTGTGACTTCCAATTGAAGCATATTACTATCGAGGCTGCCTTGATGGAATTCCAGACTCTCAGAACTGGCCAGGGGCCTCAGAGGCCTCTGGTCCAACTCGGACTAGACCAGGAGGGCCCTCTACATACAACCTAATCAACCAGTGGCCATCCGGCCCCTACTTGAACATGTCCAGTGAGGGAGCACCCTCCCCACTCAGGGCTCTTCCACTTTAGGATGGCTCAAATTGATAGAAAGTCTTTGTTGGCATCAAGTCTAAACAGGCCTCTTTGTTACTTCTGCTCTTGCTCCGACTTCTGTCCTCTGGGGCCAAGCAAAATAAGCCTCAACTCTTTTCTACAGGACAACTTTTCATATACTTGAAGCCAGCCATCATGCCCCGACTTCTGACTTCTTTTCTCGAGGTTAAACAACCCCATTTCCTTCATGAACGGGAGGCCTTCAGCCTTCCTGGCTGCCTTCCTCTGGCCACTGCCCAGCTTATCAGGCCTTCTCACTGCGTTATCTTCCTCCAGCTCTCTAACTGGTGGCCCAAGCCTATGGTCTCTTCTGCCGGTGAGGCTGAGGCTGGTGGGTTGCCTGAGTGCTGGACTTCTGGGCTGCAATAGCGTTAAAGCTGATTGGGTGCCTGCACTAAGTCTGCCACCAGCATGGTGAACTTCCGTGGGGGGTTGGGGGCAAGGGCCACCCTCCAGGCCGCCAGTTAGTGTTGGAGTGGGCCTGTGAGGGGCTGTTACACCTCCATTCTGGGCAAGATAGGAAGAGCCAGTCTCCAAAATAATACAAACAAACAAAAAGCCAAGAGATCTGATTTATCCCTTTGATGAAGAACGTTTCTTAACGCTGTGTGTCTGCACACTGTACTTTATGTCCTGGGTGTCACTGCAGAGCTAAGATGTCACCTACTACAAGGGAGGCATTGGCAGGTAGGAGTTGGAGTCCTTGGAGTCCATCAGCCAGCGAGCAAGCATTTGTTAAGCACCTACTGTGTGCCAGGCATTGTGCTAAGCCCTGTGGATACAAATAAAGCAAAACAAACAAATAAATAAATAAATGCAGACCCAGGTTACCTGTAAAGTCCCTTCCAGTTCTGTGATACAGTGCCAGAAAATAACCATGGAGCAACTTATTGTTAGACTGCCGCTTTTTGCAGAGATACTGAATAACTTACTATTGTAGTAGGAATACTTAGCATTAGGGAGTAATTTATAGGTGAGCTTTGGGCTAGAAGATCTCCAATGTCCCCTCCCAGCTCTGACACCGTGATAAAGTACCAAGGAGATTTGATCCTTAAAATAATGCTGGAAAGTAATAATGATGATAATAATAATAATAATAATAATAATAATAACAACATGTAATGCCTAGTCTGTGCCAGGCACTGTGCTAAGCGCTTTACAATTATTATCTTGTTTGGTCCTCTCAACAACCCTGGGAGGCAGGTGCTGTTATTATCTATCCCATTTTACAGTTGAGAAAACTGAGGCAGGTGGGGTGAGGTGACTTGCCCAGGGTCACACACCTGGCTAAGTTGTGAGGCTGGATTTGAACTCAGCTCTTCCTGACTCCAGATTCATTCGTGCTCTATCCACTGGGCCACCTAACTTATTAGCAAGAGTAACTTCCTATCCATAGTGCCAGTGGGACACTGAGGCCCTGAAAGCATCTGTGGGTGGGAAGCTTGTTCCAAGCTCCTTTCCTGCTTCCCTTGGCAATCTGAAGTGCGATCCTAGGTGGTGAGAGCTGGAAGGCTCTCTGAGGGCATGTGGTCCAAGCCCAGGCACAGAACCTTCTTGCTAGCATCCTTGATGCAAGCCTTTGCTTGAACACCTCCAGCAAAGGGAAGTTCACTCCCAGTTGAGGTGGCCTCTTGCAAGGTGGGACAGCTCAGGCTCTTAGGAATTTTTTTCTTATTTTGAGAGAAAATTTGCCTTCCTATGACTCCTCCCCAAGATCCTGGTTTTGCCCTCTGTGGTCAAACTGAACGTGTTTTTGCCTTCTGCCTCAGGGGGGCCTTTCAGGTATTGGAAGACAGGAATCACGGCACCTCCCCCAAGTCTTCTTGGGAATGACTGCATCTAGTGTTGCTCCCTCTGCCCGTTCTCCTGTTCACTCCTTGACCTTCCTGGCCTCCTTACTCTGGCCTTGTGGACAGTGCAGAGCCAGGGCTTAGAGGGTGGGTGAAGGAATGGCCCAGGGCATGATTCTTCTGGCAGAGATGAGGTCCTAAGGACTTCTCCCTTCCCATCGCCTGGGGTCCAGTGACCTCATCCGTTCCCAGCAGCCCCAATCTTCCTGATGGTTTTCTCTCTCGTTGTCTGGTTCTGCCCCCAGGTCAGCCTCCGCCACGTCCATGACCCTGGCCCGCTGTATGGATGTTATGAAGGGGCTGCTGGAGTAAGTGGGAGTGAGGAGAGCATGGGGGACGCATGACCCCTCAGCTTTCCTGGGTGAGACCAGAGGCTCCTGAACGATTCATCTTGACTCATCACCCCCCAGCCCTCCCACTTCTCTCTGTCCTTCAGCAACTGCCCTCCTCCATGCCCATGCCCATTCCCATCCCCCTCAGCTCCTACATTTTCTCCATTGCATTCTCTTACTACTTCAGGGTTTCCCCATTTCTCCTCTTGTCCCCTCCAGTGTTTCCCCCATTCTCATTCTTCTCTTTGCCAGCGTGCCATGTGTCTTGCTTTCTCCTCCAAGGATTCACTGCATTCCTGTTACCCTCCTTTCCTCTTCTCTGTTCCTGTCCCTGGCCTCTCCAGCGTCTCCCCATATTCCCATTCTTCTGGTACCCCCTTCCTGCAGCGTTTGCCTTCTCATAATCGTCCTTGTCCTGAGGGAGCCTCTGGTCTGCCTCTCCTGAGTTTCTTTGGTTGGTGGGGAGTAAGGGGATGGGACAGGTAAGGCGGCGTAGAGGCCATGGGGGCTATTAGTCCTTCCAAGCCAGACCAAGCTGGGTGTTCCCCGAATCTCTAAAGATCCCACCCTGCCTCTTGTCCGTTCTCCGAGGGCTGGCCCTTTGGCTCAGGCTCCTGTCTTTGGCCTGGGTTGTTTCAGGAAGACCTGTCCTCTCACCAGCTGGCTGGGGAAAAAGGAACAGGCTGCCAGCCTCCTTGAGGAGGGAGACCAAGCTGAGAGTGGGGAGGTGCTGAAGCTCTGCTGGGCTCGCTTGTGGGCACTTTCTGTATGTCTGCCTGTCTGCATTGCCCTGGGCTCATCTGGAAGGAGGGCCCCGAGAGGGGGTGCTGTCCCTCCCCTGAGGGTGCACTTTGGGAGGCAGCCCTGCCTGGGCCCTGACTCCAGGATTCAGTGCTGGAGGATCAGGCCAGGCTTGTGTTTCTGGAGAGCCCTCAGGGCTCAGGGAGGAGGCTGTGAAGAAGGGATCTATCTACTCCTTTTACCAGTGGATAAGAACTATCGGGGCCATATCTCAGAGCAAGGGCTTTTTAAACCTTGTCTTTCCAAAACTTTCCTTTTGAGTGTGATGAACTTGCCAAACATCAAGAACAGGAACATTTCCCTGTACAAAGAAGAACTGAAAAAAGGGTTGCTTATGGAACCATGAATCTCAATTCCATCTGACTTGTTTCTTTTTACAGTCTCCAGTAGGTGCTCCCCCTCTTGTCTGTGTCTCCCTCTGTGGCCAGAGCGTTGTCTACCACCCCACGCTTCTCCCCGGAGGATGACTCATGTCTGCCCAGGGCCTTACTCTTCTCCAATGCACTCTCCCTCTTGTCTGAGCCTCACACCAGCTCTCTGGGGGTCACAGGCCAGAGACTTTTCTCCCCATTTTATAGATGAGGAAACTGAAGGCTAGATAAGTGAAGAGAGACTTTCTTAAGGCCAGGCCTGGAATTCTGGCATCTAGATTCCCCAGGCTAAGTCAGGATGCCAAATGGAACTTTGTAATATTCCATTTCTCCTTCAGCAGAATGGGAAGATCCCATTCACAGAAGGCTCTGTGCTGTCCAGTGAATCCAGGCGCCATGTTCTTCTCTTCTGGAGCCTGCTTTACTTTTCTCCCTAACCCTGCCCTGGGAGGATTTCAGCTGTTCTCTGTTTTTCCTGCTTGCCCTTGGCCTGCCACCCACCAGCTATCACCTCCCTGGGCCTCTGTGACCCTAGCCTCTGATCCAGGTCCAAGTGATGGGGGGGAGCCCCTTGGAGGCATTGTCACTGACTCACTGACCCATCCACTCAGTTTTAGGAAGAGAAGGGGTCACTCCGTGAGTGGGGCCCCTGAAGCTCGATATCCAAGCATTCGTGTCTGTGGGGTCTCCTGTCTCCCAGCCAGAGCCCAGGACATCCAGGTGGGACAGAGGGGCTCAGCTATAAAGGGGCTAAGGGGGAGGATGGACACAGAGCAGGTGTGTGGGTGCATGTGTACACATATTCACACATATACATGCATATTTGAGAAAGACATGGGAAGATCCTGGGACAGATGTATAGCTATGGAAGACATAATTCTGGTTAGGCTAGGTGGGTACATGTGAAAGCTGGGGAGGTCCCTAGACAATAAAGAAAGCATAGGCATACTTGGAAAAGTACTGACACTTGGAGATAGATGTATGTATGGGATACAAGTTGAAAACTTTACAGGTTCAAGAAAATGGAAAGGCGGGGAATGGGCCACAACTGTGTGAGGAATGGCCTGGTTAGTCATGGTGACCTGGGGAGACAAGGGGAGCCTGGGTTCTTGCTGTGAGGGAGGGCATTAAACCCTTTCTGCTTCCCCCCAGGAGGCCCACTGTTCTGAGGTCAATGCCGTCTGCTTCAGTTCCAACAGCAGCCTCCTGGCCACAGGCGGGGCTGACCGGCTCATCCGCCTCTGGAATGTGATTGGAGGTGAGTGGAAATCATGCCTTTCCCCCTAGTATTTCACCAAGGGCTGTTTTTTCCTCTTAAGGGCCATGGGGGGCTGGGGTGAGTGTCCTGGTTCTGCATTTGAATTCTCTCCTGGCCCTCCCCATACCCATCTTCAGTTTCACAAATGACAGACAGGTTTTGCCACCTCATTTATGGGAGAGTCACACTGACCTTTGGGGGTGAGATAGGTGGGTGAGGTTGGGGGATTCCTGGAGCCTTGTTAGGTGGGACCTGAGCCACTTTGAATGCAACCTGTTTTATAGGCAAGGGAACAGAAACTCAGAATGGGGAAGAGACTCGTAGCTACTGAGTGGAAGAGCTGGGCCAAGAACCGAGGGCTCAGCCTCTGGGTCATGGTCTTTCTGTGCTGAATCCCACTCTGAGCCCCTAGTGGGATCCACCCTCACACTGCACTTTGAGAACCCAAATCATCAGTAGGAAAAAGCACTAGGTCTGAAGGCATGGATTCAAGTGCTGATGTGAATCCTTATTAGCTATGCAACCTTGGTCAAGTCACTTGTTTCCTCAGTAAAGATGGGTCTAATGCCATGTGCATTTTCGGCTTCATGAGGAGTAGACATTACTGCCTTTTTCTCTCATCCGCCAGGCCGCCTGGAAGCTGATCAGATGTTGGAAGGGGCTGGTGGGAGTGTGACCAGCCTTGAGTTTGAACCATCGGTAGGTTCAGATGAGGGAAAGGCAGAAGGACCTCTGGGTTGTTCCTGGCTGTGGGGGTGGGTAGGTTTGTTGGGATTGTCTTTTTTTGCCTGTCTCCGTTCTTGAAGCAGTGCCAGGCTCTGCCCTGAGTAGGTGCTCAGTACACAGGGGTTGAATTGGATTGTGTGTCCTTGAGCACATGACTTCCCCCGCCTAAGACAGTTTCCTTGTCTGTAAGATGTGAGATAAGCCCCAGCCTTTGTACCCTCCTTCATGCTGGGACAAGGGGGACCAGAGCCAGGCTGGGGACCCAGGAGCTTGTCACTCTTCAATTCAACAACATCTTACTAAACATCTGTTGGGGGACAGAGCCCTGCCTGTGGTCCATGCTGGAACCGAGTTTAGAAAAGACACAATCCCTCCCTCCAAGGGGCACACAGGCAGTATAGGAGATGTACCTAAATGATAATAAACAATGATGATACCAGGACCTATGTGATGGAGACAAGAGGGAGCCGGACCTCGGGCCCTTGGCCCTCCCACAGGCCCGCTGAAGAATGGGAAGACATCTGAAAGGAGGTAGCCCTGGAACAGGCCTTAGCCAGTGCCCCTGAGGGACCCAAGAAGGCAGGAGGAGAGAGGAATGATGATGTTAGTAACAGCACACCTTTGGATGGTGCTTTAAGGTTTGCCATGGGCTTTCCCGACATTATGTCACTGGAGTCTCGTACTGACCCTCTGAGGTAGGTGCTGTTATCCCCTTTTTACAGATGAGGAGACTGAGGCTGAGACTAATAATGGTAGTGATAATAATAACAACTAACAGAGTGATCCTCACAGTGGCCTTGTGAAGAAGGTGCTCTTATACCTTGTCTGTAGAATGGGGAAACGGAGGCTGAGGCCACAATCACTTGCCCAGGGTCACACAGCTAGTAAGTGTCTGAGGCAGAATGGAAACTTGGGTCTTCCCAACACAGAGTCCAGTGCTTTCTCCCCTGTGTCACCGGTCTACTGTGCTGGGCTGCTTCTAAAGAGGGAATGTGCAAATGCATCTGTGCTGTCACGGATTCAGGAGCTCCTCCTGCAGGTCAGCATCCATCCATGCCTGCCTCTCCTGTGGTCAGACTCTTGTTTAACACAAGGGATCCACTTGACATACTAGAGGCCTTCCCTGCTTTAACGCCATTGTGGGGAGGGGTGCTCTGCCTGTCCACCTGTCTTCCCTTGCTCTTGCCACATGAACAGTCCATCTTTTCCTGTTGTACCATTCTTTGATGACATCTTTTGATCTCTGTTTTTCTCAGAATTCCTTATTGGTTCTATGTTCCAGCCTGTTCTCACCCCCTTTCCCAATGCCCCTGTAGCCATTGCCCTCTGTCATATTCATTTTTAGTTCTTCAGAGACAGTGTTGTCCACCTCTTAACTGCAATATAGCAACACCGACAAAATCATGTTTTGTTTTGTTTTTTTAGAAGGTGGACTTTTGCTTTTATAGAAGCTTTGGGTCAGTAAAAGTGCTTTGCAGTTTTCTAAAAGCAAGCCAGCCCACTCTCTTCCTTTTCAACTCTGGTTCCAATTCATTGTCCATCTTTATTTTCCCAGACGTACATACTTTTGGACAGAGTTTATAAAGTGTTCACTTAGATGCATGTTGAAATCTGGGCAATTGGCTTTCTTCATCCATTTGGTCTTTCCTGTGTGGATGGTCAGGCCAGACTTCTTTGAGTGGTTACAGATCTCTTCAAGAATCTCTGAAACGTTTTGGTGTTTGATGCAGTCGGCACAACATCATCCACAGATAGGAATGTCTAGAAGGCCTTGTTGTCCACAGGGAATCCTGCTTCAACACAGACTCCCTGCTGCATCTCTTCCATCACAGTAGAGAAAACCTCTGGCAAGCATGCCTCTCCCTGTTTTATGTCTTGCCTGAGGTTTATTACTAACGGGTCACTAATCAGGGCTATTTCTGTCATTACGTCTTCCAAGAAATCCTGAGTAATCTTCATACGCGGATGGGTCACAGCTTGTCAGTCAGTCAATAAACATTTATTAAGGGGCTACAGTCTGCCAGCCACTGCGCCAAAGAAAGGCAAAAGCCAGGCCCTGCCCTCAAGGAGCTCACAGTCTAACGGGGGAGACGACATGTAGACAACTATGTGTGGGGAAAAGACCCTGAAGACTGCTGCATTTTGTCCTGCCCTGCTGGCTGTGGGTTTGTGGAGGCCAGGGGGTGGGGTGGAAGGGTGGGAGGAATCAATAAACAAGTGGGATCTTATATTCTCTACATCCTTCAGTCAGTTGTGAGATGCTAAAGATGTGGTCCATTGTTGAATATTGCTTCCAAAAGCCTGCTTATTCCCTATACATATTCTCAACAAGAGGGGCCTCACTCAAAAAGGTGGCTATAGTTGGGGGAATAGGCCTATGGGTCAGGAGTTTTGTTTCAGTCCCCTTTTTACGCATTAGTAAGGTTTGAGATCCTCCCCTACACACACACACACACACACACACACACACCCCTTTGGTGTCTTCACTTCCTTCACGTACCTTGTATCTTGGTCTCCCACCGCCCTCACAAGAGCGTCACTAGAGATCTCCAGTCTCTCTCTCTCTTTTTTTTGTTGCCATTTCTATTTCCTTTGTAAGAGCCTCAGGGACTCTGATGTTAGTGTTCAAGTGTGGTTTTACTCTCCTTGTTGGAACCAAAAGTTTGCCCAACTGATTTTTGTAAAATATTGCTGTTTTTCTTCTGGGTTCAGTCCGCCCTCCCTTATCATCCTTGAGGGTCCTTGGGATGCCTTTGCTCCACTGGACAGTCTTCCAAGCTCTCTTTAAACTGGTTTTAGCCTCCAGCCTCCTCCTCTTAATTATCCATCATTCTTCTTCCTAAGGTTTTACAGATGAGTTGAGATTCTAACCCAGTGCTGCCTTCAGCAGCAGTGTCTCTCTGTTTGCCAGTTAAGTCAGATGCTTCCTGACTAAGGGGCTTTCTGGGCTCTTCAAGCAATTCATTTGCGTTGTTTGACTTCTGAATAAAATTGGTATAATTGGCATCAGTGTCACTTAGGTTGTTCATTTCCCATTTTTTACTTTCCCATAGCTTATCCAAATAACTCAGGGTTAATTGTATGCCATGTTCCTTACTCATTAGTAATCTTTCTTCCTGTTTGTCATAAATTCTGATCTTAGCTCATGCTGAATTACTGGCACTTAGTTGGCACTAAAGGAGGCGTGTGAAAAGAGACTGGGAAATTAGGTAGGAGCCAGACTGTTGAAGGCCCCGATGCTCTGTTCAGTAGGCAATGGGGAGCTCTTCAAGGCTTTTGAGCAGAGGAGTGACCCTCTGGCAGCATGTGGAGCATGTATTGGAGGAGGAAGAGACCAGAGGCTATGAGAGCCGTGAGGAGGTTATTAATGGTAGTGATCAGGGCCCTCACCCCAGCCATCTCCATCCTTTCCCTCAGGGCTGCTATTTGCTAGCAGCGACTTACAACAAAGCTGCCCAGCTCTGGAAGGTGGGCGAGAGCCAATCCAAGGTGAGACGGCTGCGGGGGCCGGGGCTGAGGATGTGGCGGTGGAAAAGAGCATTCATTGGGCGCTTCCAATTTACACCCTGGATGCACGGGGTCATTGGTGCAGGAAACATTGTCTGGACACACAGACAAAGTGACTGCGGCCAAATTCAAGCTGACCCGGCAGCAGGCAGTGACTGGAAGCCGGGACCGGACTGTGAAAGAGTGGGACCTCAACAAGGTGTCCTGTAAGCCCCCCTCCTTTTCTGTCTTCTCTGCCCCCTGACCCACCTCTGCCCCTTCCACACTCCATGGTCCAAATCCCCTCCTGCTCCTTCAGGGCTCCCCAGACCCCAGGGTGGTCCTCCTTCAGTGTCTGGGGTGATTGAGACCCCCAAATAACCTCAATTCCTGTTTCCCAATTCCTCCCATCCCTAGTCATCCACTCAGTTTTTCTGCTAATTCTGCTCCCTCCCATCCCTCCCCTGACACTTTTGGTCCCTCTTGACCTTCCTCTCATTGCCTCACCCAAACCTTCTGTATTTTAGGAGTGCAGGAAGGCCACTGAGGTCAGGCTGGGAGCCCCCATGGTTAGCTCAGTGGCCCTAGAGCACTGTCCCTCCTCCCCCGTGCCCTGCTCTGTCCTTGGCTAGGGCTTAGGGTCTGTTCACCCCTCGAGCTGGGGCTGGGGAGGGGAACCAGGCCACTAGCAAAGGGGACCTGGCAGAGTACCCGGGGATGTCATTGTAGGGGCAGTTTGCTCAGAGGATCTGGGTCTGAATCCAAGTCTCACTGCTTGCTGGCCGTGCCGCTTTGGGCAGATCACACAGGGCTTGCTTCACTGTCCTCATCTGTAAAAAGAGGGGGCTGCATGAGATCTCTGATGGCCCTTCTCACCCAGGACTTTGTGCCTAAAAGTGATTTCGTGGCCCTCTGAGACCTTCACCGCCCCCCCATCCCCTCCCCCTCACCCACATGGCATGTTGGACATCAACAGGCTGAGGGGCCAATGTCACTGGCCCACTGGGGTCCCTTTCGGAGGTTCTGGGCCCTGTGGCGTTCACCCTGTGGCCCCTCAACCCCCAGGCTCTCGAACTCTCGACGGTCTCTCCTACTGCAACGACGTGGTGTGTGGAGACCACCTCATCATCAGTGGTCACAATGACCAGAAGATTCGTTTCTGGGACAGCAGGTGACAGAAGCCTAGCAGTGAGCCTAACATAAACTGGGCAGCGGGCTGGGAAGGGATTTCCCAGGCTGCCTTCCTTATTTGTTGTCAGCCGGTCAAGAAGCGTCTGTGAAATGTCTCCTACGCACAGGGGGCAGGGGTATCCCCACCCTGGTGTGAAGGAATGGTACAGTCTCTGCCCCTTGAATGTGATCCATTTAATTGCATTAGATTAGGTCACTCAGTTGACCTTTTAAAAGAATACATGTCAAAAGTAGGAATCTTTATTAAAACAAATAAATAGAGCTTTTGTTGTTAAACACCTTTTCAAAGCAAAAACAGTTCTAGAATAAGATTTAAAGAAAACAAATTGCTATCTTTCTCATTTCTATTCAATTATTATTAGCCTTCGTATTTTCCTTTTTATCCCTTTATGACTATAATGAGAAAAACATGTAATTCCTTCCTTTACTTCAATGTTGAAAACTCCTCAGCCTGCTCACCCTACCAGTTTCTGGTGTTAAAAGGCCTCAGAGCCTCCTCCCCAGTGAGGGCTGCTCAGCTATTGTGAGTCAGAAAGGTCCCGGGAAGACAAGGCATAGGATCCCAGCACCTAACCTTGCATACCTGCAGGAGTCATTCCTCTGGCTGCCTCACCCCATGGGATCTCTTCCATTTCCTAGACATTCTCTAGCGGTCCCCTCTCTGAAGCCCAATTTTTGGGCTTCCTAGAGTCAGCTAGGTGCTGTGGGCTTGGAGTCAGCAAGACCTAAGTTCGAATCCAGCCCCAGACACTTAGAAGCTGTGTTACCCTGGGCAAGTCATTTAATCTCTCTTTGCCTCAGTTTCCTCAACTATAAAATAGGAAGCCACCTACCTTTCAAAGTTGTTGTGAGGATCAAATGAAATAATATTATTTATAAAACATTTGGCATAGTGCCTGACACACAGTAGGTTTTTAATAAATGCTTGTTTCATTCTTTCTGTCTTTCTATGGGGCAGAAGCATAGAGAGGAAGATCAGGGTCACCTAGGTCAGCTCCATGTTTGCCATCACAAAAGCTAGCACATTCACCCCTTCCACTAACCTTACTTCTGCTCTTTGAGCCCATTATTTCGAGTTTGCATCAAATGGTCCCTTAGTTAGTAACCAACATTCACTAACATACAACCTTGGTTTAAGTGGGAAATTAAGACAACTTAGAGGTTTTTAAAAAAAGTTATTCATTACCACAGTTTTTATTTACTCATTTATTTACTTATTCATTCATGCATCTATTTATTTACTTATTTGTTTATTTGTTTGTTTGTTTGTTTTAGTGAGGCAGTTGGGGTTAAGTGACTTGCCTAGAGTCACACAGCTAGGAAGTATTATGTGTCTGAGGCTGGATTTGAACTCATGTCCTCCCGACTCCAGGGCCCATGCTCTATCCACTGCGCCACCTAGCTGCCCCTAGAGTTTTTTTAATTAAGGTTTTTTTTCTTTCCAAGTAACAAGCATTTATTTTTTCTCCCTTATTTCACCCCAGGAAAAAAGAAAAGCAAAACCCTTGAAACAAATAGGCATAGTCAAGCAAAACAAATTCCCGCATTGGCCATGTCTAAAAAAATTAGATGTCTTCTTCTGCACTGAGTCCATCCCTAGTCTGTTAGGAGATGGGACCAGAGTTCATTATCAGGCCTTTGGAACCATGACTGCTCATTGACTCGACTGAGGTTCTTAAGTGTTTGTTTTTACAGTGCTATGGTCTAAACTGTTCTGATTCTTTTCACTTCTCTGTGTATCACCTGAAAAAAGTCTTCCCAGGTGTTCTTGAAACCCTGCTTTTCATCATTTGTTAGGGTTCAGTAGGACTTTATTACATTCATATACCATCATTGGCTCAACCATTACCCAACTGATGGGCACCCCTTTAGTTTTAGCTTAGAGTTAGAAAATCAGGTCATAAGAAAAAACATTCACAACAGAGTATGATGTCTGTGTTTTAGGAAGGACATGGGTAAGTTGGAGTGTGTCCACAAAAAGGTGACTAGGATGGTGAGCAGCGCAGGACTGAAGGGACTGGGAATGTTTAGCATGGAGAAATGCAGGAGAGTGTGTGTGTGTGTGTGTGTGTGTGTGTGTGTGTGTGTGTGCGTGGGTGCATACGTTTGCAGAGAAGAGGTTTGCTGACTTTCCCCTGGTGCTGTGCCCTTCCAGGGTCCCACGATGCATACAGGTGATTCCTGTGGAGGGAAAGGTCACCTCTCTCAGCATCAGCAATGACCAGATGCACCTCCTCAGCTGCTCCCGGGATGATGCCCTTAAAGTCATTGATCTTCGGGTCAACAACATTCGCCAGGTCTTCCGGTGAGGGAGGGCATGGTGATAGCAGCTCCCACCCCACCTTCCCCTCATTCCACTCCCCCAGTGACAGAACTAATATTATTCTGGAGATTCCTACTGGATGGGGATGGAGAGGCCATATGCCCAGGGGTTTCCATCCCTTCCCACCTTTTTTTTTTGTGAGGAATAATATAAAACTATTTATTGACCACTGTTCACCAGTATTTACAATAAAGTAAACAATATACAGTTGTATAACGTTCCAGTGACTACAAAGTTATTTTTTTTTTGCCCGACTCCTGTGGAGCCAAGTGACCCAAATACTCAAAAGGCTGGTTCTACGTGTTGAAAGGGTGGGTTGGGATAAAGAAGGAAAAACATGCATGTCAAGAGTATAGAAGACTACATAACATGAGTATGTCTGCTTCCCCATTTATGCCCATAGTTAGGAAAACACAATCCCCCCCCACAAATGCCCGCCCTTTGGGCAGAATATTTATGTTCCAGCAGATGGGGATGTTACTACGTGATTGAGAGAGGACCCTTTGGTTAGTAAAATAAGATCTTTCCCACCTTCTTGCACCTCTCCTGTTTCCTCAGGGCTGATGGCTTCAAGTGTGGTTCAGACTGGACCAAAGCTGTGTTCAGGTGAGTATGTCCCAAAGTCCCTGCTGCTTCCTTTAGAATTCTCTCTCCCCAAGTTCTCTCCCCCGGGAATTCTCCCCCATCCTTTTCCAAAATGCCTTGAGCCCCCTGTGTCCACTCAGTTTGTCAGCAAGCCAGCAGCCTGCCTGCCACTCCCTTAGGGCAGCTCTCTCCTCCTGTTGGCCTCACCCCTCCATCTTCAATGTGGCAGCTGGAGGAGGAAGAGGGCTGGGGAGAAGGGGAGGAAGGAGCAGGGAAGTGACCAGAGCAAGGCTGGCGATGGGGAGAAGACAGATCATCAATCAGCATGTAGGACTGCATGTGGTTGTGTGTGTCCAACCCCACCTGACCTCCCACAGACCTCTGAGAAGCTCAGTCTCCTACATTTCCTTTTCCCAGCCCAGATAAAAGCTATGCCCTTGCTGGTTCTGCCGATGGCGGCCTCTACATCTGGAATTTGGAGAGCGGCAAGCTGGAGAGCAGCCTCTATGGGCCGCACAGGTGAGCCTCTGGGGTCCAGCTTTCTCAAGGAGAGGACGGGGGTGGGGGGTGGGATACACCCTTGGCAGGCAGGCTCTGCTCTGGAGTCTCTGAGTGTCTCCAGCTGTAGACAAACCATGAGCCTCTTACTGCGGAGTAGAGGCCCTGCTCCAAATGCCAGAATAAGATCCAGAGGGGACCCACACTTTGGGAAGTGGCTCCTTCACCCCTTTTGGAGATCAAAATATACCCAGATGGGCCTAAGGGAACTTGGGAGGTGTTTTAATCTGGAGCAGAGAAGATTGTTGTGGGGATATGTAGTTGTCTTCAAGTATGTGAGGGCTCTGACGTGGGGAGGGCTCCAGAGGCAGAACCAGGAGAAGCTACATCGAGGCAGATTCTGAACAGTGGGCTCCCTATCACCAAAGAGCTTCAGGCAGTGGCCAGATGACCACTTGTCAGGGGTGTCGGGCTAGATGACCTCTCACCCGTGCACCATCCAAGATGGTACCACACAGGCTTTGTGAGGCAGCGAGGTGATGCTGGCAATAGAGAGTTAGACCTCAAGTCAGGAAGCCCTGAGTTCAGATCTGGCCCCAGACACTTACTAGCTGGGCAAATCACTTCACCTATGTCTGCCTCAGTTTCCTCATCTGTAAAAGGGGTATAATAATGGCACTTCCCTCCCAAGGTGGTTGAGGATCAAATAAGACAAGGTTTGTAAAGTGCTCTGCAAACCTCAAAGTGTTCCAGAAATATTTGCTGTGGTGATGATGATGATGACGTTCCTGGTCCTATCCTTTCCCGTTCTCAGCCTCAGCTTTCCAATCTGTAAAATGGGGACAAACAATACCTCTCCTTTTATAGGATTATCATGAGGATCCAATCAGAGAGTGGATGATCACCCGTATTTAACATATGGGGAAGTTGAGGTCTAGGCTGTCACACAGAACACTAGTGGCTGGGTTGGGACTGTTGATTGTCGCCTGCTCAGCCTCCCCTCCACTGCCCCCAAGTATTCATATGCCTTCTCTTCCTCTGTCCACAGTGTCTCCATCAATGCAGTAGCCTGGTGCTATGCTGGAACACATGTTGTTAGCGTGGATCAGGGGAAGAAGGCCGTGCTTTGGAGTTAGGCTGACCTGGCCAGCACCTGCACTGGGAGCCTCCTCCTTCTACCTCTGCCTCTCCTCCTCCATAGTATTGGATAAGTTCTGGCGGGTTCCAGAGCCTGAGATACCAGGGAGGTGCACCGAGGACAGAACTGGGGGAAGCTTTGTTGGGTCTGGAGGGAAAGGACTGTGTCCTATCTTAAGTCATCCATCTTTGTGAACATTCAAAGGGAAAGGGGTGGGTTTTTTTCTGCATTAAACTTTATAAAATAAACTTTTTTTATTAATAGTATTTTTCCCAATCACATGTAAAGATAGTTTTCAACATTCATCTTTGTAAGATTTTGAACTCCACGTTTTTCTCCCTCCCTCCTCCTCCAGATAGTAAGCAATCTGATACAGGCCACACATGTATAGTCATATTAATCATATTCATGATTCATATTCATTAGTCATGTTGTGAAAAAAGAAGCAGAACAAAAGGGGAAAACCATGAGAAAAACAAACAAACAAACAAACGAAAAAAGGCAAAAACAGTATGCTTCCATCTGCATTCAGACTCCAGACTTCTTTCTCTGGATGTGGACAGCATTTTCCATCATGAGACCTTTGGAGATGTCTTAGATCCTGGCATTGCTGAGAAGGCCTAAGTCTGTCAAAGTTGGTCATTGCACAACGTGGCTGTTATTGTGTATAATGTTCTCTTGGTTTCTGCTCACTTCACTCGGCATCAGTCCATACACGTCTTTCCAGGTTTTTCTGAAGTCTGCCTGCTCATCATTTCTTATAGCACAATAGTATTCCATTACATTCCTATGCCGCAACTTGTTCATCCATTCCCCAATCGATGGGCATCCCCTCAATTTCCAATTCTTTGCCACCACAAAGAGCTGCTATAAATTTTTTGCACATGTGGGTCCTTATCCCTTTTTTATGATCTCTTTGAGATACAGATCTAGAAGCACTATTGATGGGTCAAAGGGTATGCACAGTTTTATAGCCCTTTGGCCATAATTCCAAATTGCTCTCCAGAATGGTTGGATCAGTTCACAACTCCACAAACATGCATTAAAACTTTTGATTGACAGGCTGGCCTTTGGCTTGGGGAGGGAGGGAGGGTTTGAGTCACACGGTCAAGAGGAAGATATATCCCAGGATTAATGATTAGAGCCTCGGCCCCAAAAAGCTTTTAACTTGGCCCCAGCAGGTAGAGGGACCTGAGGAATAAACGCAGGGCTCTCCCCATGTCATAGTTACTGCATGCTCAGCTCCCTTTGCTGCTCCCTGCTGGCAGGGTCAGAGGTTCTTGCAGGGGGTATCCCTATGGAGCCATGGTGATGTTTCCTTGGCTGGACTGCTCTGCAGTGAGCTTTGTTCCGTTGGCAGAGGAGGGAGCTGTGGAGGGATGAGTCCGGCCCCATTACAGATGGGGAGGAAGGCTCCCATGGCTGTGTCTCCTTTAGATCCTCAGGTGATGGCCTACGGGTAGGATGAAGAAAGCCAGGGCAATGGGTCTATGGCATTTGGTGGAGAAGGCCATGGGTGGAAGAATGGAAGTGTTGGGTGAGTGGGCAGGGAGCAAGGGCACAGAGGACATGCTGCCAGCCCTTCATGGACAGCCAGTTCTTCAGAGACCTAGGGGTATAGTGGAAACAGCCAAGGCTTTGGAGCAGAGGCTCTTGAATTCAAGCTGGGGCTCCACTCCTGGGTGACTTTGGGCAACTTAACCCCTCAACACTTCGTTTTCTTATCTATGAAATGAAGGGGCCAAATGAGGTGATCACTGAGGCTCTTGCCAGCTCTAAAATCTATGCCTCCATTTGAAGAAAAATGTGAACTTTACACATGGCAAAATGAACATGGTCACCACGGGGTGAGGCCTTCACTGTCAGCCCTAGAGATGCCCTCAGTTCAGCAGAAGGTAGAAGCAGCAGAGATCAGGAGACGCCCCATGAGGGCACGCTGGAAGGTACTCAGGCTTTTAGCTCATTTTTGCTAAGGCAGTGCCAGGCTCCAGTGCTTAGCTGCTGGTGAGGGACTAAAAGCTGCCAGCACTCTGAGAGGACGAAGTCCTGGGCACCCCGCCTTGCTCAGGGGCCAGGTATGGAGTTAGATAAGACAGTCCCTCCCTGTCAGGCTTGACACCAACAGAAGTGTGGGTGTACACCGCACACAACATGACAGGATGAGTGTCTGTAAGGTCTCAGGGAGAATTCTGATACCAAGACAGGGGGGAACCAGGGACTTTAACCCAAAGGAAGAATTCCAAGTCAGAAGGGAGAGAGGATATTCCAGGCAGAGGGAACAGGGAGTGAAGCCCCCAGAGACAGTCATACATCCAATGGTCTAAAGTTCCCCACGACTCCAACGTGGCTGACAGAGAGCTCACAGCTTCGGAAAGACACTGGCCTTTGTCACCTACCATGTGAGTGATGCTGACTAAGCCATTTTGTTTCTCCAGGCCTTAGCTTTCTCTTATGTAAAGTGAAAGAGATGAACTAAAGGACTCTTTTGGCTTAAAAAAATCTCTACTCCCATGAAGAGCTGAGGTCCATGAGAGGCAGGGCTTTGAGGCGTCTCTGTCTTGGAGACCAGTGGCCACCAGAGGGCGTCCATCACCCACCAAAGTCCTAGGGGAGGTTGGTCTCTGTGAAGCCAGGTGACTGAAGCCCCGGACCTTGGAATGGGAAACGCTGATAATTGCAGAACATGCCAAAATCTGCAAAGGGTATTCCATTTATTGTCTAATCTGAACCTCACGGTAAACTTGTGAGACAGGTAGATTCTGAGGTTCTAACCTGGCATCAGGGCACTTTACAAAAATGGATACCTTCTTCAGTGGAATTGATTTTCTTTGTAATTCTAAGTATTTTATACATTTAAAAACAAACATTACTCTGCAACATGGTCCGTAGGCTTCACCACATTGCAGGACAACCGCCCAACTACTGCTATACACAGGGTGGGCAGACCAGCCTAGGCAAGGCGCAAGGCGGTCGGGGGAGAGACAGGAGGCAGCCTGGGCCTGGCACTTCAAACCACCACCACTGCCTTCTTTGGTCACCATCTCCCCCCCCCCACCTGTGATGGGGACAGCACCAGACCCCGATCCCAAGAGCCCTGGGAATGAAAGTGCTTCCAGCCCAGCACTCCCAGCTGTGATCCTGGGAAGCAAAGCCTGTGACCCTGCAGCATGGTGACCGCTCCTCCAGGCAGCCCCAGTGACTGAAGACCCAGAAAAGAAGATGTTCTGTCAGTGGCAGTGACATTGAAGAAGAGGCATTACTTCACTGCTGGACCTTGGAGGCCATGGGACCTAATAGCTAGGCAGTGCAGTGGATAGAGCACTGGGCCCATTGTCAGGAAGACCTGGGTTCAAATCTGATCTCAGACACCTACTAGTTACGTGACCCTGGGCAAATCATTTAACCTCTGGTTTTTGCCTCAGTTTCCTCAACTGTAAAATAATAGCACTTACCTAGCAGGGTTATTGAGTGGATTAAATAAGTGCTTAGCCTGACACACAGCAGAAGCTATATAAATGCTTATTCCCTTCTCTTCCCCTCCCTTTGCCCTCTACCTTTCCATCAGACTTGCAGCTGACAACTTCCCATGTGTGTTGTCTCTGCCATTAGAATGTGAGACTTTGGGGAGCAGGGGGCTTAGCACATAAAGTAAGTACTTAGTAAATGCTTCCCCTCCTTCCTTCTCCCCCCACCCACCCCCAATCAGGACACAGAAAAGGTTAAGAACCCCTGCATGAGAGAAATTACTATCCTTATTTTACAGATGAAAAAACTGAGGCTTAGAGAAAGGGTTATACATGTAACCAGGGTGCTCTTGCCAGACTCCCTTAGCTGCCCTCCAATGATCGTTTGTTGCAGGGCTTGTAGTGATGGTAGTTTAGGAGGGACAGAAAGGTCAGTCCCCCCTCTCACCTCTGACTCTCCACTCTCTGTTAGCAGTTTCCCCCTCTCTGTTGAGTGTGAGAGCGCAGAGCCATGACAAGGCTGGTTTGTGGGCATGAGGCTGCTGAGATTCAGACATTTTTTCTTCTCCCCTTGAGGGCAGTGGCCACTTGGCAGCAGGCACACACAACGCTGGATGCCTCCGCGTGAAGAAGGCAAAAGCCCGGCTGCATCAGTCTGTTATCTCTGAAGTCTGTCGATGACCTTTGGGGCAGGCTGGGTCTCCTTGGGGAGGGAACGAAGGGAGGAGACTTGCTTCTAGGAACTGGAAGAAAAGGCAGACCTGATCACCCAACAAGTTTGAATAGGAAGTTGTCCAGATTACCAGCTGACGTAAGCTCCTCCTTCAAAAAGTAAAGTGCTGTACAGCGCTGAACACGGTACCTGGCACATAGTAGGCGCTGCCTAAATGCCTATTCCCTCCACGGCCCTCTTGGAGACTCTTCCTTCTTCAGTTCTCCCGGTGCGGGTCTACCCTGAGCCTCTGTCCCAGGTCCCCACTGCCCACTCCTTAGCAGAAGCTTGCTCCAGCTTCTTCTCCAGCAGAATTCTCTGGCTGCAGTTTATGCTAGTTCCTAGCCTTTGGGGAGGCTAAGCATAGCTCCCAGAGGAAGGCAGGTGGGATAAGGAGAGGAACGGCCCCTGTGTCATCTTAGCAGCCTGGAGAAGCTCAAATGTCTGGAGAGCTCTCCTTAGGCTCTAGTGTCATCTCGTGTTCCAAGCCCCATTCCGTTCACCCTGCTCCACCCTAACCCCAGTGCAGGCTCTGCTCCTGTCTCACCAGAAGATTACAAAAGTCTCCTAATTTCCTTCCATCAAGTCTCACCCTTACACAACTGAAGCCCAGGTCTGGCCATGTCATTCCCATGCTTCTGCTCTGGGGACTGTTAACTCTGGGATCCGATGCAAACTCCTGTTATCTGAAGTCCTTTGCAGTCTGGTTCCACACCATCCTTCCAGCCAAGCTGGTCTACCTGCCATCTGCCTCCTCCTTTGCCCAGGTCATCCCCCAAGCCTGGGATGTCTCTCTCCTAGGCTGCACCTTAGAATCCCCAGCTTCCTCCAAAGCTCAGCTCAAGCACAGCCATCTCCACGGACTTTTCCAGATGTTTCCTATACTTCTTATATCTGCATACAAAGAGACTGCTTTTGTATCCCCTTGGCTTAGTGGAGCTCCTGGCACTATTAGGCACTTAATAAATGAATCTGAGTCCACGTAGAATTAGGAGTAAGAGAGGCATATGTCACCTCAATCTAAGAAGGGTTCCTAAGAATTATTCTTCTGTTCTTCCTTGCTATCTGACCTTCCCACCTGTCTTGAATACTTTTCCTTCTTTAGTCCACAAAGCCTGGGCACAACCTGAGGCTCTGTCCTAGGCCCTCCCCTCTTCACTCACGGGCCCAAAGCTACACCAAAGCTCTAAGACCCCTGAGGCATCTCCCTATCTCTAGTCTCCCCTCTGCAATTCATTCTTCATGCCCGGCAGTCACATTGCCAGTGCACAGGTCTGACCACTTTACTCTGGCTCAGACACTTTCAGAAGCTTCCTGTTATCTACTGGATAAAATAAAGCTTCCTTTTGTTGTCACTAAAACTATTCACAATCTGGATCCTAACTACCTTCTAAGCATTTTTTCTTTCGCAAAAGATGTTCTAGTCAAACTGAGTAATTGACCATTCCTTGATTTTGTCCTGCACTCTTGCCTTCATGCAGTCTCTCCTGCCAAGAATGTCTTTCCCTTAGTCCCCATCACCCCAGTTTAAAGTGATCTCTCTTCTAACTTCTCACAGCATTTTGTTTGCTGTGATCTACTTTGTATCAGGCTGACTTCTGTCTATACCTCCCACACTGCAAGTTTATTGAGAGCAAGAGCAGTGTTGGATTTATAATGGTCATACTAAGCGCAGATGTTTGTACGGTGCTTTAAGACAGTTCTGTACAAAGAACTTGGTATGCACTATCTCATTTGCTCCTCTGACTCCTTTGCAATGAGCCCCTAATCATCTGAGATGCTTCCCTAAGGGAGATTCTAGGACTGGGATGGGAGATGCTGTTTCCAATGTCTTTTCCTGCCTTGATACTCCGGGACCATAAGAGGAGTCTGCAGAGTGCAGCTTGTATAAGGGAACATAAGAGCGATGGTCAGACATGACTCTTTTCGGATTATGGCTTCAATTTGGACTTTGGAAGTTGGAAGAGATCATTGAAGCTTGCTGAGGGTCACTGTCTTTCTCTCGAGGTATCTGGCATATCCAAAGGACTGCTCAGACTCTTAATTCTTCGAAGTCAGAACTGTGAGGAAGTGTGGGATGGGAGGAGGTGGGAGCTGGGGGAGGCAGTGTGTTGGCTCATCACAGCTGCTGACTATTTCAGAGAAGATGGAGACGCAATCAATGGGATTATTTTTGCCAAAGCTAAGAAACTCAAAGCCTTAATTCCACTTTTTTTTTATTATTCAACATTTTATACATAATAAATACAAACTTTTTACAGCCAGTACAGAGGAAGCCCTTGCACAGGTGTTCTCAGTGTACTGACACTGTACAGTGGGATACATGGATTACGTGCCCTGTACGAACAAGTCATAGTTAAAAAGGAGGCATTTTTACAACTTTTTGTTTTAAATAAAATTAGCAGCTCTTACAGAAAATATTTAAAATATAACTAAAGAGATTTCCAATAACACTCTCAATTTGGAGAACCTTGATTTGCGGGCACAGACAGACAGACAGACAGACTGGCTGGAGGAAGAGGAGAAGAACAGCAGAGTGATACTTACTTGACTTCGGCATCGTGATGCTTTTAACATTTCTGCAAACTTTTAAATCTTAAAAAACACTTTTTTTTAAACTTAAGAATAAGTTTGATAAACACATAAAAAGACCTCAAACAGATCAACAGGTTAAGAGGCGCAAACAAACAAAAAATACAGAAGAGATTCATCCACAGTCCTTGTTACTGATGAAATGAAGCAATCCAGGAAACGTTTCCCTGGATGAGCCTGGACTTTTGGTCCGGGGGCCTGGGAAGCACTCTCTGCTTCAGAGATCTTTTTCTGAGGTCAGACTCTTTGAAGTAATGTGTGCAAAGTTCAGATAATGTCATCTAAATGTAATATTAATTTCTTTAAAAACAAAACAGTAGAAGCAAAGCAACCTCTCAAAACAGCCCTTTTAAGCTAATTCATCAATTTTCTATCTTCTGGTTTAGGCAGAAAATCTTCCTACCCAATCATGCAGACAAAAATAGTTTTCCTTAAATACCTGGGAGCTGCTTCTCCCCAGAAACTTTAGATCTCATCAATATTGCCAGTGAAGCCACAATCTCTCTCCCTGTAATGGGGAGTTCGATTCTCCACTGCATCATGAGTTTGAATTTGTGCCAAGCCCTGAACTGAGGCCAAATGGCAATGTCTCCTTTCTTCCCTTGGACTTCAAGGCCCTGGTAAAACTTTTCTGGACGCTGACGGAGGCAGAAGGCTCATGCTGCTGCCTCAGGCCACGGTGGGGCCAAACCGCTGTGAACCAGTTGCTCGGTTTCCATCAGCTGGGCTGATGAGCCAACTAGAAAATAACCCTTAGTCCCCTGAACTCTGACCTCTCCCAGGTTACCCAATGACAAGGCTGAGTTGTGGCTGGGATGCAGCTTCTGGGAGGTCCATAGTGATGACGGGTCAGGGTGGGTTCTCTGATACATGAGCAGGTCAGCCAGGTGGGCTTTCCTATGGAGATGAGGCCTTTCTCCTTGATGTGAGGAACTGCTCTGAAATGTGCTGCCCCCGTCCCCAGCTGGGGGTGGGGGTGGGAAGGGCAGGCTGTGACTACTGGACAAGTAGCAGGAAGAGGAACACCAAGGGCACCGAGGCCTCTTGGGGCTGGCAGCGTGGCCTGTCCTGTGAAGGTGGCAGGGACTGTGATGAGAAGCCGGCTCTTCCACCCCAAGCCCTGTGCTTCTGCCCCTCTTCTGAGGCTGGAGAACCTGATTTGTTTTCACCACTCATCACATGGGTGATGGTGCTCAGGGTCTGGGCAAGTCTATAACACATTCCTATGGCCACAGTAATATACTGTACTAACACATGTGACAGGAGGGGGCTGGGATCAGGCCACACAAGTGGCCAAGAGCTTGCCCCAAGTTGCAGGTATGCCTGCCTGGCCAGGGCCATTTGCCACTCTGGGCTTGTGCTCTGGAAGGAGAGATGACTCACAGAAAACGAGCAAAGGCACAGAATCTTCATGACCGAGGGGAGGAAAAGGGCAGGCTGCTGCTGCACACAACCTCCTCCCTTGTTCCTGCTCCTTAATAAGAGTCATCTTCATGCAAAGGTGCCTCAAAAAATGAGCCTGGCCAAACTGGACTGGCTGGCCGTGATCGTGGGGCACCCGGCGTCACACCAGCGTGATCTCCACATCCTCCATCTTGTCTGTGGGCCGGCGGTGGCTCTGAGTGGGAGGGGGGGGCGCAGCCCGTACCTGGGGAGAGAACACATGGAGCTCCATGGGCGTGCTGGTCTACCTTCTCAGACTCTGAACACAGTAACACGACACTCAAAAGGGAAGAAGGGAGTCTGGTGGTTCAAATGCTGTTTTGACCATGGGCTTACATTCACTCAACCATTCGTTCTCTACTTACATACACTCAGCCTTGGGGATGATACCAAGGCAACAGGATGTGATGCAAAGATTTGAGTTCCTAGATGTCAACAGGATCCTAGTTCTAGAGCAGAAATAATCCCTCGAGGCTAGAAGCCTAGACCTCACATTCACAGATAAGGAAACTAAGTCCAAGCAGTAAGTGTCAGGGGTGGGATCGAATGAAGGTCCTCAGGGCTTCCTTCTTCCCCTTGTGCTCTGACAATTTACTGCCTGCAGGGTGTTGGGTAGTCATTGAACCTTTCTGGGCCTCAGTTTCCTTTCCTGCAATGAGGAGACTAGACAAGCTGGAGACAATTAGGCCCTTTATAGAGCTCTGGAAGGCATGCTATGTATGCTGACAAAGAAGCAGCATGTTGTAATGTAGACACCAACAAGCTTGGACTTGGGAGAAATGTAGGATTCAATCCTGCCTTTGACCCTTATCCATGTCTTTGAATCTCCACTTCCTCCTCTGTGAAATGGGCATATTAATCCTTTTACCCAAGGTCTCTCTGAAGAACTTTGGAATTGATTGTGAGACACAGAGGCACTGCCACAGGAAGGCCCACCATGGTGGGCCTGCATGAAAGAAAGCCCTGTGCCCTCTGAGCAAAGCAGGATTGCGGGAGCTTAAAAGGATTGTGAGATGTGCAAATCTCGAGAAATCTCCCTTCTTAACATTCACAGCTGGACTATTTGTGCCCAAGCTGTGGTCGAGCCTTCTGAGCTCAGGTTGGTCTGCCCAGCCACAGTCGGACACATGGTACCTTGACCCCAACACAGTGCTGTCACGTTGGTCCTCTGCACGCATGAAGGACACCAACCAACCATACTGATACCTCTGATACGTCCCACGGTGGTTGTGAGGATCAGATGAGATCAAAGTGCTATATACATTCTGACCTCCACTACTACTGCTAAGAGATCACGGGAGGCTTAGGGGAAGCTTTGAGAGTGGACGTCATCGATGATGGTGCTCAGACTTGGGACACATTCCTCATGACAACTCTTTGAGATGCAGGTAGAACCAATGCTATTATTCCCATTTTACAGAGAGGGACATCAGCCCAGAGAGGTGAGGTGACTCAGCTTTTGAGAGCTGTTATTTAGACACCAATCGGTCCACCCATCTTCCTGCTCATCTTCACCCTACGGTAACACCCATGTTGCAGATAAAGAAAATGAGGGTCAGAATCAAATTAAAGAGAGAACTGTGAGAAAAAGAGGGAGGAGGTGAATGGGGCCAGATTGTGGAGGGCCTCAAATGCTAGGTTTTGGAATCTGGCTTTTCCCTAGTGGGCTGTGAGCAGGCGAAGCCACAGCAGGTTTTTACCCAGTGGGAAGAAACAAAGTTAGGATATAGGAATGTGACTCTGGCCCCAGAGGCTAGAAAGAGACATGGGGAGAGACTGGAAGAAGAAGATCATAGGTAAGGAGCTGCTAGGGTCACCGAGGTGGAGGAGATGAGGCCTAGGTTTGCTGGGGAGCCTGGGGAAAGGGATGCGGAGATGGAGAGGAGGAAGTAGTTTCAAGGCATTACAAAGTAAGGACTGATAAGGCTTGGGAACTGACCAGATAAAGAAGAGGGTGGTATCATGGATGACTGGGAAACCAATGTAGTACAACTGGAAGAGAAGCAGGTAAATGGGGAAAAAAAATCTTTGCAGTAAGTTTCTCTGATAAAGGTCTCATTTCTAAGCTATATGGGAAACTTATTCAAATTTGTAAGGATAAAAGCCATTCCCCCAAATGATAAATAATTAAGAGATAAGTATAGGAAGTTTTCGGAGGGTTACCAATAGCCATAGGATAAATTGCTCTAAATCACCAAAAATTAGAAAAATGCAAATTAAAACATCTCTGAGGTACCAACTCACACCTATCAGATTAGCTAAAATGACAAAAAAGAAAAATGACAAATGCGATGGGGCTATGGGAAAATGGGTACATTAAGGAACTAGTGGTGGAACTATGAACTAATTTGACTATTTTATAAAACAATTTGCAACTATACACTAAAAACAATTAAAACTGTACACATCCTTTGGCTCAGCAATACCATTATAAAAGAAAGGGAAAAAGGACATGTATTCAAAAAATATCTGCAACTGCTCTTTTTGTAGTGGCAAACAACTAGAAACTGAGGGCATGCCCATCAACTGGGGAATGGCTAGAGAAGTCATGGTACAAGAATGTGATGGAATACTATTGTGTTATAAAATGCATGATGAGGGAAATGGTTTCAGAAAAACCTGGGAAGCCTTGAATGCAAAGTGAAGTGAGCAGGATCAGGAGAGCAACTTATATGATAACAACAAAACTGGAAAGAAGAGCGTCTTTCAAAGACTTAGGAACTCTGATCAATGCAATGAATGACCACAGTTCCAGAGGACTCATGATGAAACATGCTGGCCACCTGCAGATACAGAGGTGATGGTCTCACAGTGCAGATCCAGGCTTATGGTGGAGGGTTATCTTTGGACATGGCTAATGCCAGATTTGTTTGGCTTGGCTGCAATAACCTATTGTTTTTTCTCGAATTCTCAACTGGGGAAGGAGGGAGAGAATTTGAATTTGAAAATAAAGTAAAACTGAATTTTAAAAAATGAAAAAAGCAAAAAAAAAGCATGAGTGGGAAAATAATCATCCTGATGGGGATGCCATTAAGTAGACCACTGGGTTTTTTTTGTTTGTTTGTTTTTTGCTAGGCAATCGGGGTTAAGTGACTTGCCCAGGGTTACACGACCAGTGAGCGTCATGTGTCTGAGGCTGGATTTCAACTCAAGTCCACCTGACTCCAGGGCTGGTGCTCTATCCACTGTGCCACCTAGCTGCCCCTGTAGATACTGCTTTTGAGGAGCTGTCAGATATGCTGAAGATAGAAGTACTAGTAAGATACCCAGGCCCTGATATGGACATGTCCTGCTCCCTTCCAACTCTGACTCAGAGACATACGTTTGGCCCTCAGAGGGCTAGTCTGGGGCTTGACCTATAAGTACATTTGGGCTCCTAGGGAGAAGTGGAAGTTGAGGCTAATGGAGTAATAGACTATTAAGCAAAATGGTGAGAAGAACAGAGGGCAGAGAACTGAGTGTGGCCTCAACTGAAGGGAGAGAGAAAGAAAACTTGGAGAGAGAAAAGAGACGGGAAGAGCATAAAGGAGTGTGCCTGTACAGACGACGTAGCATTCAGGTCAGATTCAGATGCTGAATTTGACCGAGTTCTCTTTGACGTCAAGTCTAGGGCCTTTCTACCGTAGCTCATGGCCTTGGGTGAGGTCAACCTCAGACTTTGAGCAAAGCATTTACAGAGAAGGAATAAGAGGCCAGCCCCTCCCTCAGGGACAAAGCCACCAGCTGTGTTTCTGCAGAACCAAAACATTCTCCTCAGAAGGGCGTAAGTTCTTGTTATTTCCATTTCATAGGTAAGAAATGTGAAGTCCAGAGGACTTAGGAGAAAGAGCACTAGATTGAGCGCCAAAGAAGCAATCAGATGCTTTGTGGCCTTGGACAAACTATGCTGCCTCTCTAGACCTCAGTTTCCCTATCCATAAAAAAAAGGGGTGAGACTAGATACACCGCCTAAAGTTCCTCTCATCTTTAAAGCCTATGATCCTATTTTGCAGATGTCAGAGCCAGGATCATGCTCATTTTACAGATGAGGAAACTGAGGCTCAAGTAGGCATAGTGTCATGCTTAGTCATGTAACACAGCTACAGATTCTAGAATAAGGTCTTGAGTCCTGGCTGAAAGAGCCAGGCACCCCAACTCCCAGTTACTTACAGGTCGCAGTTTGCCGTAGGAGGCCTCTGGTGTGTGTCTCGGGGGCTGAGAGAACCCGGGAGAATCGGAGCCGAAGCTGTTTTCTGTGGGAGAGAACCAGAGTCATGAGTGTGAGATCCCAGGTGGGGTAATGGGTATAGACGGGTAAGGGAAAGAGCACAGCAAAGTGTCCTGTGAGCCTCACCATTCATGGATGGAGACCTGGGGAAGTACCTCGAGTTCCTCTTGTCGGGGCTGGGGGAAGGGCTGCTGGGCGGCTGGTCATATAACGGCAGTGGAGGCAGAGAATTGTGCGGCTTGGGGGAGGGAGAGATCTGGGAAGAAAGGGAGAAGTACTTAAAGAGTCTGATTGATAGGAAGACAATCCATTTAGTGGCTCTGCTCACACACTAATACGACTTCTGTAGAGTGAGGCATTGGCCAGTGATGTGAAGTTGGAAGACCCAGGTTCAAATCTCAACTTTGGTACTTACACCTATCAACAGGCAATCATATCACGAGACTGATGTGAAAACCAGGTTTATTATAAGAGAAATGAACATGCATCTGGAACCCAAAGAGTTCAACAATCCGTACAGAAGTCTGCATATGTATGACAGTATAATAAAAGGAGGAGAAAACAGGAAGGGGTATGGCATGGGAGGGGAAATGTGCAGTATGACCCCTCCTGAAGGGAAGAAACAAGGTGATGGCAAAAGCCAAATTCTTTTCCTTTGGGAACTGCGAGACTGTAAGATAGGAGAGTCTGCTCATCTGCAAAGGATCCCAGCTGCACAAGCATCATCCCAGCCTAGCACAGACTGGCTGGCACCTGTCTTGCCTCCCAAGGACACACAGGCAGTCCATTTTGGGGTACAATGACAAATTATGTCAGCTTGGGGGGAAGGGGCTTCATCCTTGACATATTCAGGGCCTTCTGCATGCTCTGCATCCAGTGTTTCTAGAAGACACAGCATCTCAAAAAGACAAGTTCAGGGTTAACACTTAACATAGCCTATATGTTACTGGTCAAGTCACTTTCCTTCTCTGAGATTCTGTTTCTTCAACTGTAAATTGAGGGCATTCAATTAGATGATGGTTAAAGCTCCTTCCAACTTTAAATCTTATGATCAACTTAATTCGATACAACCTTTTTTTTTTTAACTGAACCTATGATTTCATTGATACAGGGAACTCTCAGTGAGTAAATTCCTGGTACCAACCTAGATCAACCCATGCTATGCAATCTATAATCTTAGAGAGTTGCCTGCAGCACTAAGAGGTTGGTGACAAGCCTAAGTCAGAGGGCTTGAAACGAAGTCCTCTTGGCTATGAAGCCAGCTCTCTCTGGACTACGCCAGCTGCCCGGCATGTTGGAATGACTGTGCCAAGCACTGGGGATATACAGAGATTAGAAGGAAACAGCCCATGACCGCAACAAGTTTAACTACACGGCACCTTGTACTCCTCTGGGAAGGAGCTTTCTATCAGATTCCCCTGGTTAGGAGCAGATAGGACAGTCATAGGCCACCAACGGACTGCGATACTTTCCTTTTTTTTTTTTTCCTAATTTTTAAATTTTTTTTTTTTTAGTTTTTAGGCAACTGGGGTTAAGTGACTTGCCCAGGGTCACACAGCTAGGAAATGTCAAGTGTTTGGTCTGAGGCCGGATCTGAACTCAGGTCCTCCTGACTTCAGGGTCGGTGCTCTATCCACTGCACCACCTCGCTGCCCTGTGAGCCTTTCTCTCTGCTGGTCATTTCTGCAGCTCTCTGATTCCACCTCAAACAGGCAGTAAATTCAGCAGTGTAGCAGAGCAGGGGCAGCGCTGGGCGTGGAGTCTGAATCTGGGCCCTGACACCAACTGCTGGGACCCTGGGACAAGTCACTGCTCTTTCCTGGCCATCAGTTTCCTCGTCTGAAGGAGGAGGATAGTGACACCTGCCCTTCTTACCCTGGAGAATATCCTCACCCAAGTGTCACATAAAAAGTGCCACAGCCACCTGGCAGCACAGCCACTTCAGTGAAAGCTGCTGAGCAGCCAGGCGCCTGGGTGGATGAGAAACAACTACCAGCTGGCAGACGGAGTTTCTGAAAGCCTTCTGATGAGCTGCGTAATGACAGTCTGAACAGAATAAACATATGCACGAACACTTTGCAAACCCCCCAATATCATGTGGTAACAGGGTCCAAAGCAACAGTCATCGAAATAATGACAAGTCCTAAAACTGGTAGCCCGTGCCCACAGAGCAGCACGTGGTCACACGCACCGAGTCCCAGCCACTCTCCCTCATGGTATCATTATCACAACGGCAGTGAGAGACTGAGGATGAGGACCGTGAACCCCATTTAGCAGAGGGAAAGACAGATGCCAAGAGGTCAAGCACCTTATCCAGTATCACCCAGCCCCTTGATGGTGAAGCTAAGACTCCAACTCAGGTCTCCCGACCCCAAGGCCAAGAGTTTCTCAAACATTCTGCTGTCTTTTGTTTTCATGTAAACTCAAGCTGATGTACAGAATGGAAAAATCCATTAGCAGCTTTAATATTTCCATTTATTCACAGAGCAGTTTATTCTCATTGTTCATTTAATTAGCCTCAGGAACAGTAAGTGCTCACATTTTTACTGCATTTTGTGGTTTATAAATTACTTTCTCCTCACAACAACCCTGTGAGGGTGCCAAAATTGTTACTACTATTTCACAGAGCAGGAAACAACAGTCCTGGGAGGGACCTCAGGGAAGGATGGGTGGGGATTTGTATCACGGAAGGGGATACTCACACCAATGAGATCACAGATCCAGTGGCAAATTTAGAGATAAGGAGACACAGGTGGGGTTTACAAAGGCAAAGCAACTTGCCTACAGTCCCGTGGTGAGTGTAAGAAGAGCTAGCATTTATACCCTGGTTCTTGTCTTGCAGTTCAGTGTTCTTTCTATTAAACAGTGCACACGCAGGATATGGGGAGAGATGACTGGCTGCCCGTACTCCCCACAGATGACAAATGCAGCCAAAATCAGTACATCTCCTTTGTGATCAACGGTCCCCACTGCAAGACAGCGAGAGTCCATGGCCTTGAGGAGTGCAGCTGGGGCCACGGAGCTCAGGAGTGCTGATCTGAGCACTCACTTGCTGGCTGTGGCCCATGAGCACCATGCTTGCAGCTACTCTGTGGTAAATATATAGCTCCACATGCATGTACTGCAATGTATTTTCTTTGTTCAGAAGACTGACTAACTGAATTTCTGTGATGCATCCCTGAAGGGTCCCTGTGGGTTTAGACAGGGACCCAGTGGAATGCCAGAACTACTGAGGGTACCTTAAGTACTTTCTGTACTTGCTTAGGGACTTCTACGAATCCTTTGAATCTGCCATATTTTCTGTGGGGTAAAATAAAGGTTGTCCAAGCAAAATGCAATTATGACATTGAATGTTTGCAGGAGAGCTGGGACCACGTTACCCGTCTTTGGAGAAACCTAAATGTGAGCTCTCCCTAGGCTTTCTTTTTGACATTTCTTTGGAATATACTCTGGGCTGAGGACAAACCAAACCAAGTCAAAGAGAGACACTGACACTGCCTATGCTTAGCTCAAGATAAACAATCAGTCTGTGACAGCAATGCCTCATGTTTGCCTAGGGCTTTGCAGTGACAAGTGAGTTCACAGTAGGTATCACACTGGATCTCTCCAATAACCTTGGGGGAAGGGTAAAACAGAGAAGGGACAGGACCTGCCCAATGCCATATGTGGAATGAGCCCAGAAGATTAATATGGTCAGGAAAATTTTTTTTTTTTGCTTTTTGGTGAGGCAATCAAGGTTAAGTGACTTGCCCAGGGTCACACAGCTAGTAAGTGTCTGAGGTTAGATTTCAACTCAGGTCCTCCTGACTAGGAAAATTATTTTGACAGTTGTGTGGAGGACAGATTAAGTGAGGGGACTAGAAGTGGGGTGAACAATTAGGAAGAGAGGGATGATGAGAACCTCAACTAAGGTAGCAGACATGTGAGTAGAGAAGAGATTAATTTAAGAAATATTAGGGAGGTAGAACTGACAAGACTTGACAACTAATTGGATGTGGGGCAAGGATGAGTAAAAGAAAAGGCTCAAAGGAAGACTATGGGGTTATGTACTTGTATTATTGGGAGGAGGATAGTGGTACCCTAGAGAATCGGGAAAGTCAAGACGAAGGGTATATTTAGGGGAGGAGATAAATTCCATTTGCATGTACTGAGAGATGTTTAGGAGGCAATTAATGATGTGGGACTGGAGTTCAGAAGAGTGATTACGGTTAAAGAGATAGATCAATCGATCGCTTGATCCATCTGGGAGTTATCTGTCTGGAGATAAAAATTAAATCCATGGAAGTGGATAAGATACTGAGGGAGAGTGTAGAAAAAGAAGAAAAGAGGGTCTAGGCCAGAACCCCGTGGGACACCTAGGCAGATGAAATGGCTCAGTGTTTCATGAGCACAGCAGGCCTCAGTATCCATCACTCTGACCAAGACTACTGAAACAGCCTCCTAACTGGTCTGTACCAATCTATCCTTCAAGTGGTGACTGAATAAGCTTCCTAATGCACAAGTTTCACCATGCCACGCTCATGCTCAAAAACTTGATTTTTTTCTCAAAAATTTGATTTCCTATCGTCTCTTCAGATACAACACAAACTCCTCAGCCTGGCATTTAAGGCCTCACACAATCTGCTGCCAACCTTATCTCATGTTATTCTTCCTTTTACATTCTCTACGGTCTAGCTAAACTGGAAAACAGGCTGTTTCTGATTACTGACCTGCTCTTCCACTGTGGTACATTTATGGAAGCTTCTTTCTGTGTTCAGAATGGTCTCATCCTCATCACTACCAATCAAAACTAAGCTAGTGATCGTGGGCAATTTATATATCCAAACCTCAGTATCTTCACTCATAAAACGATGAAGAAACAAACTTTGAAGCCGAAAACAAGTTGGTTATTTTTACTGCTGCTGTGGGCCCCTCTGTTTTCAATCGCAGGCCTACTTAGATGCCGTATCCCCCTCTCTATGTCTTCCCTGATTACTCCACCCCCAAGTGGTCTCTTTCTCTCATGTTCACAGAGCCCTTTGCTTGGGACCTATCACAGAACCACAGAATCCCAGAGTCTCATTCAACCCAGCCCTAAAAAGGATTCCGTACATGACACACCTGACAAACAGTGCTCCAGCCTCTGCTTGAAGACCTCCTGCTACCTTGTTAGGGATAGGTCACATTCCCAGTAGGGATAGCGCTAATTGTCAGGAAGCTTCTCTTAACATTAAGCCTGCATGTGCATCCCTTCCCTCCTGCCTCTGAGGCAGGTGCTCTGGCTCTGTCCCAGTCTACTCTGGACTCTATTCATCTGTGTCCATGTATCTCTTCCTAGTAGACCGTAAACCCTAAGAGGGCACAGAGGTATGAAGAACAGGGGCTGGCCTTAGTACATTTTCTAATCCAATGGAAACAACGTAGGCTTTTTTTGGGAAAGCAATACACAACACGGACAAGCCACAGGATTCAGAGCCAGGGGGGAACTACGAGATCATTTAATGCCATCCAATGCAGGCAGTTTATAGGCGAGATTTCCACAACCTCTCATGCTATCCTTGTGGACAGGTTGGAAAGTGTAGACAGTACTGTTAGGTGGGAGTAGAACTGGGTGAAGAAACAGGCCCAAAGGATAGTCGTTAACGGGATATGGACGACAAGGAATAAGGTCTCTAATGGGTGCCCGAGGGATCTGTGTCTGTGTATTGTTCAACACTTTCATCAATGACTTGGAAGAAGGTGCAGATGGAAGTAAATCTGGGAGGGATAATTAATTTACTAGACAAGAGTCAACAGGCTAGAATAACAGAACAAATCAATTAAGATAAAAGATACTAAGATGAGTGGCCAGTCCCAGATATGAAATCAAAGAATTGATTTCACAGGTACAAGATGGGGGAAGTACAGCTAGGCAGTAGTTCCACCTTAAAAAGATCTGGGGGTTCTGATGGGCCAATATAAGTGTACAGTGCAATATGACAGCCCCCCAAAATAATGTGATCTTAGGCTGCTTTAAGAGAGAGTGTCCAGATGAGGGAGGGGGGAATCCTTTCAGAGTCTTTTTAAGTCACAGCATACCTATAGCATTGTACTCATTTCTTGGCCCCACATTGTGGAAAGAACATTGATAATCTAGAGAGAGGGCAGAGGGGATGGTGAGTAGGATGGTGAAGGGCACTGAGATCACAATGAGGATTGGCTGAAGAAAACGGGGACATTTAGCCTGGAGAAGAAAATATTTAGGGGGAGGGCTGAATGTGATAGCTGTCTGTAAGGATTTGAAGGTATGTGACTTGTTCTGCCCAGAGTTTACAATTAGGACTCATGGGAAGATGTTGAAGTAAAGAAGATTTGAGTTGGATGTTAAGAAAAACCTCCTGATGATTAGACCCAGAGAGAAGTGGAGTCTAAATGTGGAGACTGGCCTAAGGAGCTAGAGGCTTATCCAGAGACCAGGAGTTTTCAAAGACAGGCTGGAGGACCACTTATAGCATATGGATAACAGTAGGCTGGACTAGATTAGAGGCATCAAATCAAAGGAATCAGATTAAAATGTAACTAGGAAATATTCAACCAAAGAAATAAAAAACACTCCAACACAGATAATGTTAATTTGTGGTTTTCTAAGTCAGTATGTGGCCTGTGGGGATCCTTTTTTATTTAAGCTGGCCATTCCTGCACTAGATGACCCCTCAGAATCTCCCTGAACGTTGAGGCCCAAAGATGCTGAGAACAGCTGGTGGAGCTGGGACTGGAGCCAGATCCTCTCTTTTGAAATCCACTGCTCCTTTCACCTGGCCACTACTTGAGGTAAGTCAAAGTCTGGAGACTCAAATATTTCACTATATCCTTCCTGCTTTACCCCATAATTAACTGCAGAAAGGTGACAGCACATTCCTTCTGCACTGAACCCCTTCTAGGGGCAGCATACATATCTGGCCTGCAGCAGACATTGAGGTAGAGACAACTGATGCACAAAGACAAGGTGACTATGTCCATCTCTCTCCAGGGCCATCAAGGGTCTCCACCATCTTTATTTTGTCCTTTCCTTAGGCACCATCCGTGGGGCTTGGACATCACTCAGACTGAGGTGGGCAAAATCTTTCCTCAGAAGTCTGCCCTGATGGGGCCTGTAGGGGTGAGGCATGGATTGCTCTAGGAGAATACTACAGAACAGAAAATTAATGTGGGTATTCCACAGATGCTTCAGGGACATTTCCAATGTAGACTTCTCAGGGGCAGAGTTTTCATTGCCTTTATTCCCAGCACCCAGCATATGGCTCTGAACATAGAATCAATCAATCAACATTCATTAATGCTAAGAGCTGGGGATACAAACAGAGGCAGAAGATAGTCCCTGCCCTCAAGGAGATTACAGTCCAATGAGGAGAGGGGAGATAACAGGCAAACAAAATGTACAAAGCAAGCTATATACAGGATAAATGGGAAATAAGTACAAGAAGGAAAACACTAAACATAAGAGCAGTTGGGGAAGACTTCCAGTAAAAAAGGGATTTTAGTTGGGACTTACAAGAAGGCAGGGAAGTCAGTAGGTGGAGTGGAGGAGGGAGAGTGTTCCAGGCATGGGGACAGTCAAAGAGAATGCCTAGAGCTGAGAAGGTATGTAATAAATGCTTGTTGAATTAGACTGAATTGAAGAATAATTTTTCAATGAGCAATAGTAAGAATCAGATAAAGCAGCATCTTAGATTGCTAATGTATCTTTGTTTTAAAATAGGTGGCTGACCTATATAATGAGGACATTAGACTAAATCAGAAAACGTGGGTTCAAGTCCTAGTTCAGGACTTCCTATGCTGTAAGACCTTTAACAAGTCATGGTGAAATGTCTTAATAATCTTCTCAGGGTATTGTGAGGATCACACTGGCATAATGTGTATGAAAGTGCTTTGAGTCATTGTTGATAAGCTTCTTCCCCACCGCTCCCACCCCTTTCCCTTGCACTTACCTGAATCTCTCTCACCCATTGAGTATCACCATTTTCTGAGGCTGAAAGTTCTTCCACTAGCACCGATGGGAAAACGCCAATGTGTCCATTGAACTCTCCTTCCCAGAAACCATCATCATCTTGGTTCTCCTTGTTCAATATGCGGATGATTGCTCCCTCAGGAAAGGATAGCTCATCATCTGTCTGGCCTTCATAGTCATAAAGTGCTTTAACAAAACAGACTGTGGGGCAAAAGACAGAAAATAGTGGCTGAGGTCATTTCCAGCTTAGCTACTGGCCCCCCCCCCCCTTCACGTGTGCCTACAGGACCACTAACCAATCACTGACCTGGCTCCTACTGAAGGACATAAGACGTCTTTGGATTCACAAAAACCATTCAGGTCAAGTGTGGCCCAAGGAAAGACTATTCCCTCTGCCCTACCATGTAATGCCTTTCCACCTGGAGCAATGTGTTTCTAACTCGTGTGATGCACTTATGGAATACTGAGCATTACATTCACTTGCATGTGTGTCTCGCACATTGTGTGACATCTAGAAACCTATACGCCCCTTGAGGGCAGGGACGATGGCTTACCTCAACTCTACATCTCTCCCAACTCCTGGTATTGTGTTCTGCATACTGCAGTTACTTATTAATTGTTTATTATAAAATTCTGCTACTACTGGTTGAAAAGGCTTGTTGAACTCTATCAATTATTACCACTGGAATCTCCATTGAGGCTCCCAGAAACAAGTTCTGCCTCGGTTGAATTGCTCGACGTGTGAGAGCGGCTGTCTAGTGCAGCAAGGGACTGCAGCATGCTCAGGAGGCTGTTGGATGTAGGAAACTGCAGGTACTTCTCGGGCACGTAACCCACCTGGCCAACCTTGTTTCGGGCCTGTGGGAGAGAGGGACGAGAGGGTGGTGCATTCACAGACATGAAGGTCAGGGGCCTCGTGAGAACCCAAAGAAACTCCTCAAAATGCCACGAGAAAGGGTTATATGAGCAAAGGAATCTACCTTTACCCAGTCTTCCATATCTCCATCTTCAATCACTTCTAACACCTCATGCTCCTCAATCGTCAGCTCGTCTGGCTGAGATGCCTGCAATGGAGGATGGTCATGGACAAAATTATAAAGGTTAGATAAAGAGCAGATGTAGGCTGGTCATCAAAAAGAAAAAAAAAGCCAGAGAGCAAAATGATTTTGAAAAGGAATTCAAGTACAAAAATTTCAATGCTCTAAGGATTTTATGAGGTGAAACTAATGAAAACAAGTGGTGGGATGGGTCATTCATGAGGTACTATGCTTTAGAGAACTGGAAGACCCTGTGACTGTGAGCAAGTTCCTCAAGGTCTCTGTGTCTCCGTTTCTTCATCTGCACAGCAGGGATGACACGCCTGCCTTTTCCCAGGGGGATTCTGGGATGAATTCACATTTGTAAACAAGATGAAGTAAATGAATGAATGAACGCATGGCTTCTATAAGGACCATGGAAGGTAACTAAATAAACAACAGCAACGAGACAACATGGCAGCTGAGTACCATGGGACTAGGCATGCAAACGCGGCAAGGAATGACGTGCTTGAGTGTGAAGATGGTTCAGACAACGCCTTGATTTGAGGGTCATCAACTGTAGAACACTGTCCATGAGACAGGTACGTTGTGGAAAGGGCTGTGATGCATGGTTAGCCAGGGCTTGGTACTTATGGGCACCTCTGCACCCTGGTCGCAGGGCTCTGCTGATCAAGCATATGCTTTGTGCACATGCCTGACCTCAGAGATCCTGGTATTTACTATCTACTGGGCATCTATTCCCCTTAAGATCTCATTCTCTGAACTTGGTCATATGTCCCCTTACAGGAAAAAAATAGCATTATGACATGTTTGCACAATTATGGAAATATAAACACATTCTGGTCAGGCTTTTAAAAAATCACTTACCTCAAAGCATAAGAGGCAAGAACTTCTGATGGCTTTTCAAGTAGGGGAAAACTTTCTCCCTCATCAATAGCTAAATTCCTTCCTCTCTTTGCTGCTCTGAATGTGAGAACATCAAGGAGGGGGGGAGTCACTTGGAGCCATGTTCATGGGAGAGTCTGCAGAGTCATCTGACCATGATTTGTCTGGTGCATGTTAAACCCAAATCACCTGTCACTGCCCACAGGTCCAGAGACTCTCAGAGCTGGCAGGAACCTTAAGAGACCCTCCAGCCCAGTCCCATCCCTTTACAGATGCTGAACTTAGGTCTGAGCTCACGCAAATAATGACTCGGCAGAGTCACAATGCCAACCCAGGTTGTCTTACTTTTTAACCTTGTGCTCTTTTCCATTACACCATGCTGCCCTCCAGGACGCTAATGTGCTATTTTAACATGGCAATGAAAAAAAAGAAAAGTGTAGTTGGCCTCAAACGTAAAGCTATTCGAGTTCAAAGAACCGACGGGAGTCCTTTAACAACATTAGCTACAAAGATCCCATCCATGAGGCTTCTCATGTCCAGTGTTAGCTAGAGCTGTAGCTGTGGCAAGAGCTCTTTACTGCTCCCATTATGTCATTATGATTATACTACCCTTCAAAGCCCCGCCATAATGCCACCTTCTCCAGGAAGCCTGCCTTGATTTCCCCAGACAGATTTCTCCCCTTTTGTCCCTTGGACCACACGTAGCACTTTGCGCTTCCCTGATGCACGTACGACAGCAACTCACAATCTTACGGTGCTTTAACAACAAAGTACTTTCTTCACAACAACCCCATGAGGCAGGGAATTACACATATGTGTACACGCACTGTATTTCTGTAAGTTACCTGGGGGTAAGAAATGTGTCTCATTCATCTGTCTCTGTCTCAACAATTGCTGAATTGAACTGAATTATGTTCTGGGTTATCTAGGGGATAGTTGCCTGTGGATAATTGATGGAATAAACTGTACACAAAGGGGTAGGCTATAATTGCTCAGGTACCACTTTCTCTGTCATTAAACACCTTAAAATCTGGAGCCAGCCCAGGAATTTTTCAATGAGAAGGAGATCAAAGACAGCAGATAAGCAACATGTCAGTTGGCTGAGAACTGCATGCTTGTCACGAAGCTCAATCTTAAAGACACCTAAGGAGGACCTGAAGCACAACTTAGATAATTACCAAGCAATGACTGGATGAAAACAACTTTTACAAAATAATTTTACTCATAGGCTACCTTAAGGAGAAACAGGTTGTTGGGTCAGGAGCAGTTGGGGAAAAGGAGACACGGAAGAAAAAAGGATGAGGGTGTATTTGCATATGGTTCTGGGCAGTATTTAATGTTATATGAATCTCCTGCTAAGATAAAGTGAAATGGCTGAAGAGAACATGCCAATCTCATCCCACCCTAAGTTGTGAAGCAAAGCAGTACCACCTTTCTGTTGGGGGATAGCCTGCTATAGTCAAAAGGGCATTCAATTTGGAATCAGAGAACCTGAGTTCAAACCCTGGCTTGGCCACTTAGCATTAGTGGCGCCTGAGGGAAGGCACCTCGTCTCTGTCGGCCTAGAGTGAGGGACTGGATCAGATGGCTTCTGAGCTTTCCTCCAGCTCTGAATTGATGATCCTACTGAGCACCGACTGCACTCCAGTATCAAGGCAGCACGAGGAGACAAAAACCAACAGCCAGAGCTTTCAGATGGATCCTGTGTTAGACTCACAGATAATGTAGATATCAACTTCTAATACTGGCTTTTCGAGATCCTCTTCTCCCTTTCAAGTCCCTAAGAACTCAGAAGTTGTCTTAAAATTACCAAGACAAACTCAAAACAAACACACACATCCCATGGAGTGTCGTGAAGTACAACATACAATGCAAGGCTGGCAACCCTACCAAGTCTGGGAGGGTGGTCAGTTACTCATCCTAACTCTCTCCTTCCACGTGCCCTTTGAGACCTCACATTCACACTGGTGCCTAGCAGCATCTAGGCAGGGGAAAGGAGAGAGGCTGGAATTTGTCCGGCTCCCTTGTCTTCTCTTTACCAGGAGGGAGAACTAATGCTCCCTCCCTTCTCCAGTGCTCCACGGCAGCTCAGAGATCTTCTCATAAGCATCCCTGCGAGGCAGACTGGACAAGTAGTTTTATCCCTCCCTTTGCAGATGCACTAGATTAATCAGGGAGATAAACTGATTTGCTCACAGTCACTTAACTAGGAAGGATCAGAGCTGGGATTCAGACTCGGCTCTCCTGATACTGAGAAGCTGCAAAGTCATCACAAGAGGGTGACCAGGCTGGTGAAGGGCCCTGACTTAGGGCCTGGAGTGAATGACCTGGAGACACCGAGCCAGGAGAAGTGAACACTCAGGATGGACGACATGGCTGCTGTCAAACAAAGAAGGGGCTGGCATACAGAAGTGGGATTAACATGTTCTGTCTGGCCCAGCAAAGTTGCACAGATGAATTCAGGCTTCACAAGGGGAAAGAATTTCAATTACAGCTATCTAAAAAGCAAGTGGTCTATCCTACGTCAATATTTGTCTTGGTTTCTGTTTTTTGGGGGACTGCCTCAGCAGGAGTGGGGCAGCCAGGTGGTGCAGTAGATAGAGCACCCAGCCAGAAATCAGGAGGCCTGAGTTCAAATCCAACCTCAGACACTTACTAGCTGTTTGACCCTAGGCACACCACTTAACCCTGTTTGCCTCAGTTCCTCATCTGTAAAATAAGCTGAAGAAGGAAATGGCAAGCCACTCCAGTATCTCTGCCAAGAACCACCCTGTCCAAAAACAAAAGGGGGTCACAAAGAGTTGGACGTGACTGAAATGACTCAGCATCAGCTTGGGCCCCGGGCTCTCCCTTGAAGGCAGGAGGACCACTTATGAGGTGGGTGGGAGACGGGATTCTTGATCAGGCGGGACTTGGACTAGATGCCAGCTGAGGTCCCTCCTAGCTCTGGATGCTGTGGCTCTGTCTACATTTAACATTCTCTCTGAGTAGAAAGTATCACTGGAAATAAGAGCTTGAGGTTTTCTGTGTAATATAGTTATTGTTCTTCCCCGTCTTGACGACCAGATAAAGGAGGGACAGCTGTATTAGGATGATGAAAAGAAGGTTCTGGAAACTGCTTTGAGACAAAGTTATATTCTGGACATTTTCCAAGGTCATGTTAGTGGACACCAGAGAGCTGGCCTCCAGACTCAGGAAGAGCTGGGTTCAAATCTTACCACTGCACATACTAGTTCTATGACCCCGGGCAACTTACTTAACCTCTCAGTTCCCCGGGCATCTCTCTAACATTAGCAGCTGCAGAGCACTTGCTGACCAGCAATGGCAAAGGGAGTGGCTTCATTAGATGTTCCCTACACCAACAAAATCACAGGTCCCATCAAACAAAAGCAAATGTGCAGCATTCCAAATAAGGGATCTTGAGAGGTATTATAGCGTAATGGAGAAAGAAGTGCACTTGGAGTAAGCAAAAAGCTGGGTTCAAATTCTGCCTCAGGTAACTTACTGGCCAAGAGACCCTAGCAAAGTCATCACCTCCTGGAATTTCATTTGCAAAATGGTGACAATAGTATCTCTCTCAGGGTTAATGTGAAGATTAAATGAGATGAGGTATAAAAAGTGCTTTGCAAATCTTAAAACCATCTCTAAATGTGAGCTCTCTTTTAACTAAGAGTGATTTAGGTCTGTCAGGGCAGGAACAGTAGGGCAGAGTGGGAAAAGCTCCAGGAAAACCAGGGTTCTGCTCCAGACTCTGCCCTTAACGTGTTGCTTGACCTCAGACAAATCCTTCCTCTTCTGGGTCTGGGTTTCCTCATCTGTAATATGAAGGGGCTGGACTAGATTTTATCCACCCTTTCCTCAGGTGTCAAAATAATCTTCCTAAACACAGGTCGGATCATGTCCCTGCCCTGCCCCAGCTTGGGTGGGTCCCTACTGCCAGGAGGATAAGGCACCAACTCCTCAGCAGGTTTAAAATAAAGCCCTGTGCTATCTGGCTGCAGCCGGTCCTTTAAGATGTTTATATTACTCTTCTTCAGGCATGCCAGATTCCAGCCATGCCATGCTCTTTGCCATTCCTTCCACTCCGCATTACCGTTCCCATTTCTCTGCCTTTGCCCATGTCACTATGAATGTCCAGCACGTAATTCCTCCTCCTCCCCTCTGCCTCCCAGAAGCCCTAGCTGGGGTCCAGGGTCTTCCCAGATGCTGCCTCCTTCAGGAAGCCTTTTCTCATCCCCTTGGTTACTAGGGCTCTGACTCTGTTCAAATGATATTTTATTTACTGATCTGTGTATCTGCTGGATCCCCAAAGTGGAATGTAATCTCCTTGAGGGAAGGGACATTCTATCTGCCTCAGTGTTCCTAGTGCCTAAGAGGATTCCTTGTACACAGTAGATGCTTAATAAAGGATTGCTGAATTGAATTATGCTTAAGGTCCTACCCCTTCCTGGCCCTCATTCTGATAATCTATGGTGTTATGGTTCTAGGTCCAGCAGACCTCTGTCCTGGTCAAACCAATAGGATTGAGCAAATAGATTTGAGCACCACATTTTAGGAAGGACACCGATAAAATGGAGTGAATCTGGAGGAGAGTGACTAGAATGATGAAGGGATTAGAGACCACACTGTTTGAGAATCAGCAGAAAGAACCAGGAGAATTTTTAGCCCAGACAGCTGAGAAGGCTCAGGAAGGACATTTTTACTGTCTTCAAAAATACAAAGGAGTAGGGAGATGAGCTTTCTTTTGCTTAGTCAGGGCAGAAGTGGGAAGGGAGGCAGAGTTTATCTAATGTAAGGAAAAACTTCCTAAATATTACAGCTGTCTATAGTGGGGTTGGTCATCAGAAGTAAGTTTCCCAGCACTGAAGAGCTTCCAGGAGAGGTGATGAACCTTTACTGCGGATGCCATGGAAGGGATTCTCCAGGAAGTTCTGGATTAATAGATACCATGTGAGGTTCTGCCAACTCTGAGATTTGAGGATTCCTGACCCACCACAGACATAGGTGATTTAGTACTAATCAGGCAGCTGTTGAGTATGTAAGACCCAAGATGTCACATGGAGATGTAATAAGTATCCACTTTTGAACAACCTTGTAAGAAGTACAAACCTTGTATGAATAGACAACTTTGCAGGTCAGTGGATAGTTTCGCAGGGTGCCCGATGGACTGGAACTGCTATCATCAAACACATCCATGTTGTCCTCAAATTCTTCCCCTTCTTCTCTTTCTGTATCCACATTAAGCTAGAGGGGAAAAACAAGAAAAGAAAAATGCTAGTTTTCTTGTTTCACAGAACTGTTTGAGACAAAAAAAGGAAAGTTTGGTAATGAGTGAGGAATTCTGAAGTCTCGATTCACCGATCCAGGGGGAGAAATGGGTGGCGCAGGGTAAACAGTGTGACTCCAGCTTGTTCTTAACAAGTTAGAGAGTCACTGAACTTTCTCCTGAATACTCAGAGTAAAGATATTATCCACTCTCAAGGTCTTTACTGCAGCATCCTTCAGGGCTGCCTACTAAGGGTCTGCATGGCGTTCCTGCCTGCTATACCACCCTCCTCATCTGAATCTTGATGCAAAGGTCCACTCGGACAAGGCCACAGCCCAGGAAGGGTCAGGGACCTTGGGGTTTGCTCATTTGGGAGGCAGCAGAGTGAAGCCTTGGGCTTCACTGCCTGTTCTGTTACTCATTAGCTCCATGACCCTGGACAGGGCAATGCATTCCTCTGAGACTGAGCTTTCTCACCTGGAAAGGGAGGTAAAATCAACACACTGTTTAACCTCATGGAGCTCTGATGATCCAAGCAGGAGATGTAAAGGTAAATGTACATGTAAACAAAGTCTTCTGTAAAGCTTGGAATGCTTTATCACTGTCAGTTCTGAGTACCATAAGACATGCCCTTAGGCAGCACATGGCTGGGGGGGAGGGGATCCCCTCTACCCATGAGGATCAGGGAGTACCTTCTCTGTCTTTGAGAGTTGCAGAAAGGAAAAAGAAGGTACCTGCCCAGGGTCACACAGCTAGTGCATACGAGAGACGATGCTTTGACCCAGCTCTCTATCCTCTCTCCCACTAGGCAACAATCACCTGCCTTTTCAAACTCTACCTTCTTATAAATCCAAAGCTTCTTTTTCGAACAGGGGCTGCTATTCTTTGCTGTGAAGTATATTTTTACTTAGTTGTTGCTTTTTTTTGAAAGTGACAATTTTATTGGCAACCTCTTGTTCTTCATGATCCCTGGCCTCTTATCCCTCCTGCAAGGAAGGCTTTGCTACCATCCGAAAGCCACGGTGAGTCTCTTGTACGACACCAACTCCTAACCCTGTCTCCTCCATTTCTTCAAGTCTAGTTAGAAACATCTCTGAGCCCCATCCCTTAGAGAAAGAAGGATATCTTCCTTATATCTGAGGAATGAGGGACAGGGAAAACGTAAAAAGGAAAATAGGAACTCACACTAAAGTTCATTCCCATGTTTCTTTTTAAAAAAAATTAATTTATTTTGAATTATCAACAATCACTTCAATAAGCTTTTGAGTTTTAAATTTTTCTTCTTCTCCCTCCTCACCTCCCTCCCCAAGACGGTGTGCAATCTGATATAGGCTATACATATATATTCCTATTAAATATGTTTTCACATTAGTGATGTCGTAAGTAAGAATTAGAACCAATAGGAGTAACCACCAGAAAGAGGAAACAAAACACAACAGAAGAAAAAAAATAGCAAATAGTATGCTTCGATCTGCATTCAAACTCCGTAGTTCTTTCTTTGGATGTGGATAGCATTTTCCAACATGAGGCCTTTGGAGATGTCTTAGATCCTTGTATTGCTAAGATGCACTAAGTCTATCAATATTAGTCATCGTACAACGTGGCTGCTACTGTGTACAACGTTCTCCTGGTTCTGCTCATTTCACTCAGCATCAGTTCATATAAGTCTTTCCAGGTTTTTCTGAAGTCAGCCTGTTCATCATTTCTCATAGCACAATAGTATTTATTCCATTACATTCACATACCACAACTTGTTCAGCCATTCCCCAACTGATGGGCATCCTCTCAATTTCCAATTCTTTCCCACCAGAAAAAGAGCTGCTATAAATGTTTTTGTACATGTAGTTCATTTTCCCATTTGTATGATCTCTCTGGGAAATAGCCCTAGGAGTGCTAATGCTGGGTCAAAGGATATGCACATTTTTATAGCCCTCTGGGCATAGTTCCAAATTGCTCTCCAAAATGGTTGGATCATTTTGCAACTCCACCAACAATGCATTAGTGTTCTAATTTTCCCACATCTTATCCAAAATTTATCATTTTCCTGTTTTGCAATGTTAGCCAATCTGATAGGTGTGATGTGGTACCTCAGAGCTGTTTTGCTTTGCATTTCTCTAATCAATGATGATAACGTCTTTAACATGGGAGATGTCGCAGGAAGGCTGCACTCAGGGACCTTTGTGTTGGATTGTGACACTGTAATCTCCCACAGGGCCAGTGGATTTCTCTTCAGGCTCTTCTGTCTTGAGCGCCAACATGTCACAAAGGCATCATCTTTCAAAGGGATGAATTCTCCACAAAACTGATGATCCTTGAAGGATCATCAATGATAAAAGTGAATGGGGAGGCCATTCACTTTAGCTGCTTCAGCTTGACAATAAACACATCACTTTCCCTAGCCATGGTTTCCTCTTTTTCCCTTTGGGCTGACAGGTCCTGTTCCAAACCAAAGATGGTAGGACTAATTAATTAATTCTTCAACAGTGGTCAGAGCTCCCTTTTGGCTAAAACCAGGAGCCCAGAAATTCTCTTACAGGATCTTTGCTGAGGCACAATCTGCCTTCACCATCTCTTGGTTCATGTCTTCAGGGACTCTTTAACAGATAAGGTAGTGCAAACAAGTGCTCTGGATCCTGGCTGAAGACTGAATCACCATGGTGAACTAGACCCAAGGGTTGAAGTAGAGGAGACTTTGAAGAAGGGGATCTAGGTAACCTTTAAAAACAGGTGGGCATGGGCAGGCATGCAATCTCCAGAGGCTCTAGCTCCTCAGGTCAGGGATGATCGGCAGAAACAGATGTCCAGAAGCAAGAGTGGGAGATAGTAACCACAGGTCCTGACCCTATCCAGGTCCCTACACCCAGCTCTAGCCCTAAGAGAGGAGTCCTGCTACCCTAATCTCTCTGTTCACCTCCAGCCTTACATTTCCAACTGCCCATTGGACACCTCAGAGCCAGATGTCCTGTAGATGTCTTAAATTCAACAAGTTCATTGTCTTTCCCCCAAAACTAGCCTCATTTTCAAAATTGCCTATTGCTGTCAAGAACATCCATCCAGGCCCCCAGGCTCACAACCTACGTGTCATCCTTGACTCCTTGATCTCTCTCTTCCCCCATCCCCACCCCCATATCCAATCTATTGCCAGAGCCAGTCAATTTTAATTTCACAGTATTTTTCCATATACCCTTTTCCTCTACATTGCTACCACCCTTGTACAGACCCATCCACCTCATGCCTAGACTACTGCAATGGCCTGCTGGTTAGTCTTCCTGACCCAATTCTCTCCCCACTTCAGTCCATCTTCCACTCAGTTGTCAAAGTGATTTTCCTAAAGCACAGCTCTGACCAAGGGCCACCCCCTCTGCCTGCTTAATAAACTCAAGTGGCTCCCTATCATCCCTAGGAGGACAGACACACACACATACCACACACACTGACTGTAGTACCTTTTGTGGTAGCAAAGAACTGGAAACAAAGTAGATGTCCATCAGCTGGGGAATGGCTAAACAAACTGTAGCATATGAATGTAATGAAATATTACAGTACCAAAAAAGAAATAATGAATATGAAGAATTCAGAGACGCATGGGGAGCCTCACATAAAATAACAAAGACTGAGGAAAATAAGATACATGGCTACCATGTTAACACAAAAAACAGTAAAATAAAAGCAACACAACCTAATGGTAATCACTAAGCTTGGCCCTGGAGAAGAGTAAAGAAAATGCCTTTCTCCCTTCATTTCATAGGGTGTACAAGGTCAGATGCCATCAGTATCAGTTCTGATTATTTTCTTTTAAAATTTTTATTGTAAGAGAAGACTTACCTGGTAGGGGAAGGGTGAGTAATACATCCAGAAAATAAATCCCCTTCTCATGCTCCAAGTTTTTGCCTCAATGTATGCCTTCCCACTCCCTTGCCCTTTTCTGCTTTCCTGACTTAGCTGAAGAAGCTCCAGCTTCCTTTACGTGGAATGGCTTATTGTCCTCAGTGTAACTTGCTGAAATCCTTTCTCTGCTTCAAGGCCTAGTTCCAAGATCATCTTCTGTAGGAAGCCTTCCCTGAGCCCACTGTTAGAAGTCATCTTTTCTTTTTGTGAAACTTCCTATTATGTTGAACTTTTCTCTATTTTCCATCCTTATGTTCATCATAGTTAATTATGTACATGTCCTATATAATTTACTAGTCTGTGAGCTTAAAAGGGACAAGGAACTGGCATCAGATGTGTTATCAGCGGTAGCATTAAGTATTTCTAGAGCAGTTGCTCCAGCCTTGGTTCTGGGATTCTATCCATTTCTTTTCTTTTCTTTTTCTTTTTTTTGTTAGACAGTGGGGTTAAGGGATTTGCCCAGGGTCACACAGCTAGTAAGTGTCAAGTGTCTGAGGTTGGATTTGAACTCTGTTCTTCTGACTCCAGGGCTGGTGCTCTATCCACTGGACCACCTAATGCCCCTATCCATTTCCTTTCAATGAAGAATTGCACCATTTAATAGAGATGAATAAGAATGAGCACAGTGTAGTGTACAGCTTTTGAAATTGGAAGATTTGATTCAAGTCCTGGTTATGCCAAATCTTCATTCTGTGACCTGATGAGTAAGTCACTCTGAGCCTGACCTAAGCTTCCTCCTCCTGAAGTGGAGACAATCATGCACATATGGCCTACCTCACAGGGTTGTAGCGAGGAAAATATTTTGCAAACCTTAATGTACTAGAGAATTATTGAAGCAACATGGTGACTTGGAGTGAGAGGAACTAGGTTTGAGTCTTGGCTCTTCTACTTACAAGCCCTTATGAGCAGAGGTATTCCTTTGTTGGGGCTCAGTTTTTCAGACTAGATGGTCTCTGAGGTCCCTCCCATCTTTGACATTCTATTTTCTAAGCAGCCTCATCCAGTAACAGCATTCTGGAATATGAGTTGTCTTGTGGCTCCAAAGCCACACTGTCACGTAAGATTTATGTTTCTGTTGGAACCTACCCCT